TCCTTGTATCTGTAAGAAAAATATATATGCCTGGGTAATACAAAAATATTATATTACTAAGCTCAGCATAGTGTTCTGTGGGTGCTAATACTTTGCCCTTGAAACCCACAGAGACGTAACTGGTGTAGGTTTAGGTGGTGTGATTTGAAGAGATAAGTGGTGAAATGGCAAACACAGGGTGTGGAGCCTCCTCACTTTTCACTGAGCAAATAGTGATTCGTTCCAGAGGCAGAAATAATAATTACTAAAAAAAATTCATGGGTATTGTTATAATATTTGGGGCTAAGCAAACTGCGGAAATTGTGAGTTATTGTGTTTTAGACTGGGGGGATCAGCTTTAAGGAATACCGCTGTCCTTTCCAACAGCGTCTCAACATTGACAGGATGTTTATGGGATCCAAGGAGTATCCTATCCATCACGCTAGCAAGCCCTGTGGGTCAGTTTAGAATATCACCTCTTTCCCCAAACATTTGTCTGCTTTGTATTAACAGAGTCCTTTCCTCCTCCTGTTCAGCCACACCTTCTCCTTCTTTTGGTTAAAGAATGAAAAACCAGGATTTATAGTCCCTCCACCCCCCACGCCCCAGATTTAGCTTAGTACAGCCAAGCTTACAAAAGAGGAAGACTTCTGTGTTGAATAATGCTATTTTGGCTATGGTTAATTTTGTGTCCTCACTCTTCGGGTACTCTAGGTGAATCAAAAGGTGCCTTTTTTTTTTTTTTTTTTAATTTCTTTTTAAAAACATGTGATCCAAATCATGTCTTCAGGCATCAATCAGCGTTGAAAGAAAGGGAGATAGCTCAAAAGGCATTTAACTATTGCACTGAGAGACTTCACCTACTTCTCCCTTGAGGTCATTGATTAAGTCCTGAGGTGTATTTTATACAAGTGTTCTTTCTGCTTTTGGGAACAGTATTTATTCAGAGGCGTTTTTATAGTTTAGGAAGCCTAAATCAGTGAGAAGATTTTTATTTTAATGTTTAAAGGCTGTTTAAAAGTTTTAAAATGAAAATTTTACTGTCTTTAAATTTAGTTCCTAAATCTTTTATCTCTCCCAGTTGAATCTTCACACATTTCATTGTTACTAAATTTCTTTAAAGAGAGCAATTCTTGATTCTCATTGTAGTGAGAGTATATGCATGCATATATTTGCAACCATATGAATGTTTAGAATGTCATGTTTGTTTGGCTTTGGTGAGTGGGTAGGGTTGGTTTTGGTTTTTACTTTCTTTGAACTGCTTAAAAATTTCTGAAGATTAACAGAGCTCCAAAGAGTGACAGGGGAATATTTACTATTTTATTTTGGTGATCTTAAAAGCTAACAGGGTTACGGAAGAACGGATTTTTGAGAGGAGCGTGAGAAATGTGAGAGACTGAAAAGAGCTTTTCTAAAGGCAGAGAGAATTTTCTTCACCTTCTGCACAGCTGCCAAAGCATATGGCTTAAAAATCTTGTTTGTTACAATTCATCTGACTCCTTGGTGCATGTACTCAAGCCATCTTTCCCTCACACTTCATCTGTCTCAGTTCGTCTGTAAACTGTATTGACCTGTGAGAGAGCAGAGCTAGAGAAGAGACTGGTAAGATAGTAAATAACAAGGAGCTTGAGTCCCTTAGACAGAACTTGATTGCTTGATAAATTATGAGCAATCAAGTGTGTTTTCTTGCAGCTAAATGCAAGGTTATGCAAATAAGAAGAAAGACTGTAATTCTGGTTTGTTTGACAGAGGGCTGTGCTGCTGGGCTACTGTGTCCTGGTCCAGACCCCTGACTTCAGAAAGGCAGCTGGAAAAGTGCAGAGGGCTCAGGCGGACTCCAAGATTTGAAAAATGTGCATTGCAGCAGAAACTGGAGAGCTATTTAATTTATCAGTGATGAAGTAACGAGACAACTTCATCATACTGTGGGAGTACCCAGACAAGGAGAAGATATCTGTAAAGCAGGGATTTTTACAGAGCTGTATTTCTGTGACTAGATGATGAACTCAGCAAAGTTCAAATTGGTAATAAAGTGCACGTTTGTAATGCTAAGGTGATTAGTGTTTCTGAAAGATAAGTGTCTGTTCAAGCACTCTTTGCATCCAGGATTCAGAGTGCCAGATGCTGGACAGAATGTTGTGATGTGTCTTACACAGGAGTTTAGAGCAGTTGCTGAGCTTGTAGGTTTTAAAATCTGTGGCTGTATTGGGGCTCAATGTCAGTAGGAAAGGATAAAGGCAATGTGTGTAGGCTAGGGACTGTGGAAGAGTATTCTTCACAGTCTTAAAAGTGTCATCACATTTCTTATGATTTAGCACAGAATGCATCTGCTTTTCCCAGAAGGACTTCACATGCTCACAGCATATATTGCTGCATGAACTACCTGTCGTATTTGAAGTCACTTTTCTTCTTAGGAACATTCTGATAGTAAAAGTAATTTAAACAGATGAGGGAATGGTCAAAATGGAGTGTTTATCGCTTCAGGTGTGTATGTTTTAAGTTTCCTTTAAATCTAAGGGATATTTTTCCAAGAACTTAGAGGATCTGTTGTATAGCACGTGGTTTTCTCAGTTCTGGTTTCAACTTTGCTGTTAACAAAGCCTGTGAAGTCAGAAAACAGCTTTCTGAAGCTGTGTGTCTCTAAAGGCAGCTTTGCTGTAAGAACAAGCACTAAGTTTTCAAGTTGGGATTATATTGAGCTACTGTGTGATGTCTGAGCTGTATAGAACACGACGCCATCATACTGCTGCAATGGGATGGCTGTCCTATTACGCAGCTTCCTCCATGGAATGAGGATCTGAGAATTGAGATCCTGATGAATCTGAGGATCTGAGAATGAAAAAGCAGCTCTATGCTGATCTGAACTGGGAGAGACCCTAAAATTTTAAGTATCTTTTTAAAAAACAATAAAGATTCAATAATTTGGCACATTCCCTGAAAGGATCTTAAAACATCTTATGGTCCTCATGAAGAAGATATTATTACTCTCTTACAGAGTGGTAAGAGCCAAATGCACATGGCTGGCAAAAAGAAAAGGGGGCTTTTCATAATATACTAAATGTAGCTGATCGCTTCTTGGCCCTAGTTCCTTGTCCTCTATTTTGTTCAAAGCATGTCTTCATTGGGGGAAGAAAAAGTACAGATGAGTAGTCTTAAATATTGTTTAGCCTCTTTTTTTAATTGGAGAGTACAGATATGTTATTTTGAGTTTGCATCCCATTTCCAACAAAAGTGAACACTTAGTGGTGATATATATACATAAATATTACTGTCAAATTGTATTTTTGGTAGTTTCAGAGAATGAGTTAATTTATCTTATTCATAAGGCTTTGGAAATGTAATGTGTATTTTTGATATTCCTGTATCAATGACCAAAAAAGGGCAGGAGATAAAGAGATGGGCAACATCAAAATGTATTTTGCATGTTTTTTAGTAGTAAAGGATATTTTTTCCAGTAGAAAACTATCAAAAGGAATTGTTCTTAAAGCTGGTGTTGGACAGAGTCTTTTAACAGTTTCCTCTGAATTCTTTTGTTCTTTTTCTTGTTAGAACGTCTTTGATAAAAATGAAAACAAGACAGAAGGAGGATACTATGAAATTCTTAATTTTTTTAAACACTTGCATCTATTCTGGGTTTAAAGTTCAGTCAAAGTAGACAGAAGAACACTGTGGAAGCAGTTACCTAATTGGTAATATTTTAGTCTGCTATTCAGCATTTTTGGCACACAAAAACACTACAAAGATAGTTTGCATAGCATAGATTACACAGACTGTCTTGCTCTCCCTTGAATTTTGTATATGCTTTTTCTTCTTCTTCACATTTAGACAAACTTTGCTTGGGCTGGATGCCTGCACTGTAGCAGAGAAAGAACTGTACTGGTTATGGTTACGCTAGAGACGGTCGATAGTAGATGAGTGTTGTCAGCTGGAGGGCGGGGGCAAGCGGACAAGAACGGGGTGAGGCGGTGTTCGCCTGTGAGACAGGCAGTAGAGTGTGGGGTCCGATTATTGTGACCGTGTGCTGTATTCATCCTCAATATACCGCTTCGCAGAATGATTTGCTGATGTCTGTGAATCAGTCTTACCTTGCTGCTGCCAAGCGTATTCCCTCTCATGCAAGACTTTCTGGTCCGGCGTATAAAGGAATAGCCAAGATACTGTGTGTGCTAGATGGCATTAGTAAGCACGAACAATGCAGATGCACTTTACTTCAGATAAAGTAAACTTCAGTATTTCGGAGTACGTAGTTAGGGCATTTTCTGGTGTAAAGCAGTGTAACCTAGAAGGCACCAAAGTGTTGGAAAGGATACTGAATAATTTGATAGTCTTTATTGTAAGGTCCATATGTTACGGCTTCTGAATTAAATTCTAAATTAAGTTTTGTTCATATTCCAAAACCTGCAGAAATGCACAATACTACTAGCTAATTTTATTTAATGTCCTATATCCCTAAACAGGTTTTTGTCCCTATGAATTTTGACCTATATACTATCCATATCTTGAATTATGTATAAAATACCACTGAAAACACCCAGGACTTTATTTAATATAAATGGATTTTGAAATACAAAACACAGAGGAAGCATATAGTTTGCCTATGTAGTATGCAATTTAGAATGTTAAAAAAAATAAAATCTGTCTATGTAGGATCTGATGTTTTCCTGTAAAAAAGAAGCACTCGTATGTATTACAGGTTGTGGTATTCTGTGTCATGTAGGGCTGCGTTAATCCCAGCCTCGTTATACTCTAGAAGTGATGTAGCAGATACTTAAACTAAAGCAGTGTTACAGTGCAAGTATTTTTTCAAATAATTAAGTTGACACACATTTTACAAGTATTTTTCAGTTTAAAGTTATGAAACGAAACTACTCTTATGCGTAAGACTCTTGATTTGGAAATGCACTGTGACTTTTTAATACTTCTGTATGAAAGGAAAAGCTAAAAGACTTTGAAATATTCCTTTAAAAGACAGTACTTGAACTCTGCTTTTTCGTTCTGTTTCAGGTTTTTCTTCTATAATCATGGCAAAACCTTATGAATTTAACTGGCAGAAGCCAGTTCCCTCTTTTATGCAAGATGGAGCTGTGTTTGATAGATATGAAGAGGTAAGAGGCCAGTTGCATTTCATTTGCTGTTCTCTTTTAAATGTGTAGATGTTACAGAATATTTCATGTTTTGCTTTCATTGTACACAAATAAATTTTCAACTAACTCCAGAAATGTGTGTGGGGAGGAAATACCAACGCACTTTATTGCTATACAGAGTTATGTTTTTAAAAGAAATACCTTCTAAGACAGATTTAATCCCTCCGATTTGAAATAAGCCCTGGGCAAGAGAAAGGGAGATCTGGATCAAAATATCTGCAATGGGCATAAAGCTCTCATCTTTGCAGATCCATAAAGCACATTAGTGAACAAAGTGCATCCTTCCAGTTTTTGTATATCTATCAAATGGGAAGGGGGGGAATATGTCATCTTTTAATATATGAACTGAGGACCTGCATCTCACAAAGGAAAATAAGAGAACACAAACCACTTATATTCTGATTCAAATGCACTATTTGAGATCTGGAGTGGTTTTATCTCCTTTAGAAAATCAACCTATACTCTATCTGAAATACGATTACTATGATCCTGCTTTCGGCTGTGCTTTAATCCAAGTCTGTTAAAGGAATGCAAAACAGGACATTTTACACAGAGAGCTGAAATAAAGTGCTGAGACATTTACCTTATACTCAGCGTTGATATGCCTGTGAGAATAATTTTATCAGGGTCTATTTTTAATCTTGTTTGGACGGGAAACCTCTAAAAGTTGAAGGTATCTCAGTAAGTGCCTTCAGGGATATTGGTATTTTCTTCTTATCTTTCGAAATGTAAGTAAAAGGTATTTTTTATCATGAGGACTGCCAAGATAAGGATAGTTGTTTTACCCTGTATTTTCAGTTTTGGGGACAGATAAACTAACAAGACACTAGTGGGCATTGAATTCCTTAGAAAGGAAGTTCATAAAAACTTTATTTTTCTTCAGCAAATACTGCTCCAGCAACATTAAAAGGCTTTCACTTAGATAACTATATTTTATCTGCAATTTTACAGGAATCATCAAGGGCTGTAAAAAAACCAGTGACTCAGAAGTTAAATCTGTAGCCTGTAAACAGTGAGCACTTGATGGTGTAGCTGTTTGATGTTATCAGATTTATGATATACATAGGCTATTATTTAATTGTGTTGTGGCAGTTAACTAGATAGCCTACCCAAGAGAGAGACCATTGTTTTGGGAATGCTATGCAAACACAGCAAGATCCAATCCCTATACTATAGGGCTTGCAGTTTTCAAGAAAAATGTTTCAGATCGAGGCTTCCAATTTTTGTGGAAATTCTGTGCTTAACTTCCCGCCCTAGCAGAAAGCTCATGTTGGGGAAAAGAGAAATGGTAAATGAACGAAGGTCATACAGCAGGTCAGTGCAGAACTGGGGCTCAGGAATCCTGGTACAGGGTCTGGGTGACTGAACAGCTCTAGTACAGCATGAGAGGTCTTTTATGTGCCCAAGTTTCACTGAGTGGCTAGAAAAATCTGGGTCATTGTCACGTGGAGCAGTGTCTTGATCCAGCTTTTGCTGATAGATGAGTCCCTTAACCACAAGGATTACAAATTATGGAAATATATTTTGAGCCAGACATTATTATGTTTGACTGCTGAAAAGTCTGGGTCTAGAACAGGATTATCTCAGCAGAATATGGGAAATAAAAATCAGACATGATTAGGGATCTCTACTGGTCATGTTGCACCTATGTGGTCTGATGGCAGGTGCTTTTTTTACCATACAGGAAGACAAATTGCACAAAAAGTGATTTGATGAATCTCTATTCATCAAAGACTAGCGTGGAACATCAACATGAGTGCAGCTTACATAGACATCTTTGTGAAAACAACATTTTTGGTATATCAAGAGCTTTGTTATAGATGGGGACACAATAAATGACAAAAAACTGCCTGCCTTTTACTGTGTGAGTAATCTTTCTGGGAAACGCAAGAGACACTCAATTTGATTGGTAGCTAGCTGCATTTTTATATGAAACAGGACTCCAAGGGCTATAAAACTAGTAAATCTGAGGTGTCTGGCAAAAAGAGGGACGAGTGCTAGGCTGAAGGCAGGAAAATAGAAGTTACGGTGGAGAAAGATGGGCAGAGCAGTGCATGCTGGAAACCCAGGCATAGTGGTGTTGGCTCAGACTGAGCTGCAGCAACTTTATACTTCCTATCTCAGCTCCCCTGCCTGTAAAATTAACACAGTTTGCTACTTGGCTGGAAAACTGCAGTGTGTTAGTCCTTAAAACCTGCAAATCTCGTTTGAGGACCTAAAATGTTGTCCATAAGCGGTACACACTATTCTGTAATTAATGTGTCCAGGGAAAAGGCGGAATTAGCCCAAACACGACATATCCCCTTTGACTGTGCCCATCTAGGAGGGCTCAAGGATGTTACCCAGCCGTGGATCCAGGAACTTGCTTGGCTTCATGCCCACTGTTAAGTCAGGATAAGACCTGACTGGAGTGTGACCGTTCCTTAGCCCACCCGATGCCCTTCTTCCTTGGCAGAGGCCAAAAAGGCACCTGTGGCTGCCCCATGGTGTCCTGCATCCCGGGTCGGGCTGGGGGCCTGCCTCAGAGTAGCACAGCGAGTGCAGACTGCCCTGGGTAGACCTACCGACTTAAAAGCATGCTCCATGGATTGAGGGCATTGGAGTTTTGACCTGGTTTTGTTACCTAAATTCAAATTGGCCTGCGTGTAAGACCTTTTGCTCTGAAAACCGCTGTGTAAATTCACGTGCTTGCTGCCCTTGCTATGTGCGCAGGAGAGGACATGGCATTTCAGGAAGGTACCTCAGTCTTCCACGTAAGAACAAAGCACCGGCCTCTGGAACAGTTAAGCAGTGCTGTAGCCTGCACGCATGCCTGTTGGTTTTCAATTAAGGAAGTCAGGAAGTCCTGGATCCTTTTCTTCTTTAAAAAGTGCTTGATTCTGCACAGTGTTATCCTGCATTTTAGCTTAATTTATGATGTGTTAATTGAGGCTAGAGGTGTGTGGAGGAAATTTCTTTTTTAATTCATCTGATTTTTTGCCTTGTCTAGTCTCTTTGGTATGCCGTTCTTGATTTCTCTACAAATCAATATCCTTCAAACTCTGCTTGCCAGATACTCTAGCTACAAAATGTTCGTGGCATGCATAATGTCATTGTCTAACAGAAAAGTGTTTCCCAAATTCTGAATGTTAAAATGAAATGTGGTCATTTGATCCTGAGGGTAGTATTGGCAAATTACCTATTTTTAACCTTTACATGGTTTGTAGCATTTCATTTTCAATAAATTTTTAAAGTTCCATTTCATTAAGGTTTTTGATTAGGTAAGAATCACTGCTTTTATTAAACAAAGCAAATTTCATAGTTGCTAAGAAGTAGGAAAATACTAAGTAAATGCACCCCTATGTCTCAAATGGCAGAAAAACACAAATCATTAAAAACGACAATTTTTTTTAAAAGCCTGCCTCCCTCATTTCTGATTGCTTTGGGAATAGCAAATTCTCCAGGAAGGTATTTGGGGAGAAATGTAACAATCTTTTGTTTTTGAACAATAAATATGTTTATGACATTTGTCAAACTGACTAAAATAATGGTCTGTATTTTCTTTTCTATAGGAATCTTTTGTCTTTGAAAGCAACTGTCTCTTCCAAGTGGATGAATTTGGCTTTTTTTTGAGCTGGAAAAGTGAAGGAAAGGTATATTACAATTATGTCAGGAATATATATTAGATATTATTACGCTTGGTTTCTATTCTGGCTAGTTTTTACAAATCTAAAATACTGTGTTTATTTACAAAACTAGACATAGTCCTATTCTTCTAGAATTTACAAAAGTGTTTAAGAGGGAATTAACTAATATAAAAGGGAAATATACTGTTTAGCGTTAACAGTGTTTGCAAATAAGATTCATTGTTTATTTTTGCAGCAATTCCTAACTGAGCCATGTGTCAACAGACCTTTGAACTTGTACCTTTTCTTGCCATTTCAGGAAGGACAGGTATTAGAATGCTCCCTGATCAACAGTGTTCGTTTTGGAGCTGTACCAAAGGTATTCTATAGTTAGTTTGTACTCTTCATTTAAACAAAGAATATTTAAACGGAAGGTGAAATGCAGGATGAAGTTAATTTCTTTAAGAAATACCAGCAACACAGCTTTTATTTTGCAATCACAGTCTAAAATTTTAAGTTTTAAAGTCAAGTAATGTGGTGTGATTGCAGAGGGAAGGTTCTGTGGTCTGGTCTTTCTGATGTACATACAGTACTCAGCTTTCAGGATGCGGTGAAAGCTGAACAACAGACATTAGAAGCACATATCAGGAGTTTTTAATTATTTTGTAACAGTGTATTGTGATACTTCTTTTAGGCATCTGGGAAAAAATGTTTTGTATTCCAAATTTTGTTCCTGTCTGTTTAAAATTTGTTGTATCTTCTTGCTCCATTGACATAAAATGTAGAAAGTTTTGTTTGCATCCCTCTTCATACAGTTAGGCGGTCAGAGAGGGCAGCTGGTCACTGTCTGCCATTTTGAAGAATATCAGCAGAAGTACTAGCTAGGAGTTCTGGAGAAACCCAAAACTTTGGAAATATTTTCAGTGGTATTCTTCAGAATGAATACATAGAATTTTCTGAAGTGAATTGTGGGGGGCCTCTGGAGGCCTGGAATCTGGAGGGCCTCCCTCCTCCAGGCCTTTAGTTTAGAAGATTTGTTGTGAGGCAAGATACCTGTTAACACCTCTGCATTTCCACTTTCATGTGTTAAGTGTTTCTGTGTTAACTGTAGATAACTATCTCTTAGTAGTTCTCTTGGGAATCCATAGACTAAAATCTTTCCCCCATAGAGAAAGGGGCATGAGAAGTGGTGGTGCAGACAACCCCATGCTTCATGTGCTGACAACCATACCAATATGCTTCAGACTTCACCTCTGTCTTTACATAGGTAATTTGCTCTTTATGCCCATTAAATCTGTAGCCCTTGACCCTCAGCAGAGATACCGGCTTGTATGACTTCTTGTTAAGAAACAGCGAAAAAGTCCCACAGATCATAACTTAGTAACTATGAACTGAACTAGATTGGAATCATTTACTTAGAGATTAATGCAGTTCCTCTATTTCTAGTCCTTGCAGTGATTAATATGTAATTTCTAATTTAACTTTCTAAAATAGTTTTAAAATACTTCATTTACTTCTGAGTTCTCACAGTTGTGTTCCTAATTGTTAGAATATATTGTTTTTCAGGTTTACACACAATAATTCTAAGTGAAAGCACTCATTTAAGATGATTGGCAAAGGTCTAAAGGTGTTAATGTATATGGAGATGGAAATGCATCTTTACCATAGTGCACTGCATAACAAAAGTATTGCAAATGTAACAAGTTATTTATTCTGTTTAACAGGATCCCAAAATACTAACTGCACTTGAGGCTGTTGGAAAATCAGAAAATGAGTTGGAAGGACGGATAGTGTGTGTTTGCAGCGGCACAGATCTAGTGAACATCAGCTTCACTTTCATGGTAGCGGAAAACACAGAAATTGCCAAGGTATTTCACAATTACACAGTGTATAGGAATTTAAAAAAAAAAAAAAAAAAAAGGAGCTCTCCTCAGCAGTACTCGATTGTTTTTTCTGAGTAATTGAGCCTGCTTGGCTGACTGAAATACCTGTTTTAATGTCTGCTGCCACACACACTCTACAAAAAGGCAGCAAACATCCATTTGGAGCATTCTGTAACATGTCTGTGTGCCATGGTAAAAGGAAATAGTGAATTGATCAGCCTGTGTGTGCATGGTGATTTATCAAAAGTAGACACTGAGACCATGAAATATAGGACACAGCATTCCCTCAGTTGTTTAGTGTCTCTGTGTGGCGCTTGTACAGCAGACTGTGACAATTATGCAGTGGTAACACACAGGGATGCTGAAGGGAAATGCAATTACTTTCATTTGGTGGGTGGACCTCCAAAATTTTGTTCAGTGATAACCTAATTGTATTGTGTGGTTCATATTATTTGAAAAGACAAAAGCAGGAAAGAAAATTCTCTGCAGTTAAGGGGATTCCAGCGTACCCAGGTTCTTTTCTGTTTCCCGTTGATGTGGAACAGTCTTAAGAAAACAATGGTGCTTTTTTACACGTCATCTTTCGTGAGACCTTAAGATTGCACTTCACAATGCAAGTTCTGTGGCTCCACCAGGGCCTGGTACTCGATCTATCTGCTGTAAACTGCTCTGAGAAATTTGATCCAGAGTACTGATAGTATGCTGCTAGCTTAGATCCAGAGATTCAAGGGATTTTAAAATACAAAATTTTTTGCTTTTCTTTTCTGATTGTATGTACTTACAATATATTATAATCTGTTTTGTCTGTGAGGTAGGCATTGAATAGTGATCAATGACACACACCTGCTAAATTCTCTCCTTTAAAACTGAGCATCTGTTTGCTGAACACAGCATCACTAAAGCCCTTGGCACACCTGGTTGATTTTTCATTGCTTTGGATCCATACCTCTTTAAACGCTGGCAGTACTGAGTAAACTCCATAATAGGAGAGGTACTTGTATAACTTACATGGGTACACTAAATTGATCTTACTGTGTGTATTTTCAGCAAGCTTTCAGGGAAGTAATGTGCCACAGTTATATTTTGAAAACATTTAGGAAGCAAAGAGAGGAGATGCTGGCAGCATTCGCTTTTATCCTTAACCCAGCAGTGTCTCTGATTTATTCTGAAAACAGAAAGTTGAAGTTCCTTAGCCACCTTAGATCTCAAGAAACTGTATTAGACTGATTGGTTTGTGAAGAGTATGTTGGCCAGTTACATAGACTGTCACAACAGGTGAGCTAATTATATTGTCTAAAAGATCTACTGCTTCGTTAAGCACCAAGTTGCTTACCAAAAATGGTGTGTCATGCTGCCGTCAGCTTGTGGGTAGGCTCTGAGAGGCCCGTAAATGTGAGAGTCCTGCATTTGGGAGTCTCTCCACCAAAATATATATCCAGAACTTGTCAGCAATGGTGATCCACCTGATCTGATCTGTCTGAGGCACAAGGGAGGAGGTAAAGTAGATCAAGCCAAAAACAATGTAGAGCTTTCTAAGTTGCCTTCGCTGGGTTTATGGGCATATGGGAAGTAATTTGGCCTGTACTGTATTGGCCTTTTGTATATGGTAAGTACATCAACTTGCTAGTATACTTCTGTGCTAAAATAAACTTTTCTAGGAGTTATCTGCACATAGAGCTGTTCCTGCTTAATTTTTCCTGTTTTGTTCATGAGAACTTCTTTCTTCTGGGACATAGGAAATCTCCTCCAGAAGAAGTGAGTCTTTGTGTGGCATTAAGTAGCTATGCAGCTACTAACTGCATTTTAAAACAGGCCTTGATTTAATCCATGTTCAAAAGTAAGCCCCCTTTGTGAAATGACAAGAGGCAAGAATTTGGAGAAAAAGGGGCAATGATTGTAGCTTAAGCAGCCCAGATATGTGTAAGGGATGCATCTGCAGTGGTTTCTGCTGTTTCCCCTGCTGTTGCCATGAGGAAGGCAAGCATTACTTGCTGTAGATCCTTTGTCCCTTCCTCTGGTAAACCAAGGTCAGGATTTGTTGGCACCTGACTGGGATATTTTAAAACAAGGGAATTTAGTGACAAAAGCAAATACAGAAGCCCAGAACCTTTCTGCCCAGAAAGAGGGCAAAAAGGTATTCTGCTTCTGTAGAGAAAAATTGACAAGTGGAAAAGAAGTAATTGTTACTCACTGAAGGCTGAGTTATAACGGAACTGTGTAACCATGACAAAGAAGAAAATTAATGCAAGTTCCTGGCTTCTCCAGGCTACCCGTGTAAGGAGTGGTATTGGTGGGAAGCAGATGCTGCTGGGTGGACAGGACAGGGTGACAGGCCCTTAGGGGTGCCCCAGCTGTGGCAGGTGGGCATGCGCAGAGCTGCTGCCTGCCGCGGGCAGTGGTGAGCCCTCCCCTCCAGGCAGGGCTCATTACAGCCTGTCTGTTGTGATCTGTCATCGTCTCTGCACTGGGGCAGCCCCACGTTCCTCTGCCTCTTGTGGTGATGTGCTCAGCAGGTCTGGCCAAGTCATCACTGAGCTCCAAGTATAGCTATTCCAACAACAAGAGTGTGTTTATTATCTCTCCACTTGTCTCCAAGCTCCATCTCTGGTATTTACATTCTGTCTACTTAAATTTTATTGGTGTTTTCAGCTGAGAAATTGGTTTTCATTTCCACTCTTAAAACAAAACAACCACAAAATAGGGTGTACTCTGTCTCTGATTGCAAGCAGCTGTCATGGTCCACTCCTAAAGCAACTCCACTGTGATAGTAGAGAGTGACTGTAAAAGGTGGAATTTAAAATCTGATGTTTGGAATCCTGGTTAAATCAGGTTGTATAAATTACTGTGAGCTAAAATTAAAACACACGCACACGTATTAGAGGTGTGGGCGTATGTGTATATTTTTCTTTTTTACTTCCCAGATGGACTTTCTGTGACCTAGTAATCTGATAATCTGCTTTCCTCAATCTGGGACATTTGAAAAGGCCAGTGAGTATTTGGGGGCGAATTTCTTTAGTGCAGGAGTGATGTAGTGCCGATGTGAGGCCGTAGCGCATGGCACGTAGGCTGCCTGTCCAAAGTTGGCGTAAGTCCAACAAAGCTGTTGTAGTTCAGCAAGCCAAAATCTGGACCTCTTGTCGTCTTTGCTCATTCGCTTTGGCAACGCATTAAGGAGTTTAACTTAAAGGATTAACCTAAGTCAAGTCAGCTCTTTTTACATTCTTTAATATTACTGCATACCAGGGGTAAATTGTCCTGACAGCTGTTCTTTCCCAGATCCAGCTGCGTTGTTGGGAAGGACCATCTTTCCAGCTGATAGTTTCTGCCCTTCTGCCAGAAAGTACTGTTCCCACTGCCCTGCTGGCAGAGGAATTTATGTGAACTTTATTAGGGGTGAACACTCCTAATTCACTTCAAGGAAGAGCCATAGGGTTAAGCTCACATCGCCTATTTAGGGGCAAAGCTCACACCAGTGTTCAAGATAACCTGATGCACACTATTCCACTGACGGTAGGTAGGGATGCAAGCAGCCATCAGGAAGACAATCTGAGAAGGAGAGTGGAGTAATCTTTTTTACTGGCATAGCTGGATTTGATAGAAAATAGGTATTTTCTAGAGGTGTGTTACTCACTGAGACAGTGAATCACACATTAATGGCTAACCTGTGAAGCACCAGAAGGAATGGCACGTGCTGAAATGCTTTATTGGTCATGCTGACAAACAACATAAAGGTAAGATGCAAGCTTTCTCATACAGCTAATAATATGGTGTTGAAGATGACTGCAGTTGAAAGCATTTCGTTTTGACCTTCTTAAACTTCTCAGCTTTTCAGTTGGAATAGTATTTTTTAATTTTAAATTTATTTCAGTTTGTTTAAAATGGTTAAATGGACCACCGTGGTTTTGGTAAGATGAAGCACTTCAGGCTGATCATTTTTGTTGCTGTTTCTACTATATGGCTCTTTTTTGACTTCCAAAAAAGTTCTGTTTCAGTTGACCCTGATTTTTTTTTTTCCTTGAAACACGCTGTTAATTATTTGTCCAAATCATATTGCTAGGAGGGCAACCAGAAGGTAGCAGAAGATTCCCACAGGACTATCCCACAGTCACAATACAGAAAAGTTCTGTTTTCCCATAGCTTTGGTTTGTTTTGATGTTTCAAAGCAAAACTTTCAAGAAACCTGCAGAACATACTTGACCAGAACTCTAAAAGTCCACTGCTGTTCTCTGTGTCCCATTATGTTGGTACGTGGCTTATGTCTCATAACCTACATGATAACCATTTCTAAACTATGACTGTCTCAAATATATGACCGCTGCTTACGTGTTCAGGCTGTCCTGTGCCAAGTAATACCATGTTCTCTAGAAAAATTTTCATATCCTAGCCGGTCTGCAGTTAAGCATCTGTGATTTCAATGTGCTTGCTTTTCTGCTTTTTCGTGTTCTTTCTTGGCTATGCCACTTGCAGTTATCAGTAAATTGAAAACTTCAGCCCTGGCTCTCCATAGCAAGGAGGTCGATTTCACTGTGTAAAGCTCCACAATGTTTGTCTTAGTCTGTATACAAAACCAGCCAAAGTGAGTTTTCTGGCTGCTTTCAGAGTAGACCCCTCCAATGCTGGAAAAGTCATTCCAGAGTGGAAAGCTTTGTTGAAGGGTGGAAGCAGTCTGGACACATCAGGCAACTCCCAATATAGAGTGTTTGTGTGAGCCTGAGCTTTCCAGGTGAAATACTTGTAAGTCAGAAGAGTCCCTTTTATCTTTGTAACAGAATTTTGACGGCAATGTGCTGCAAGTTTGTGCTGCAGTTGGTTCAGGTAGGGGATAGGGTTTACGCCATCACTAGTCTAGTCTCCTTGCTTTTGCTGTCTCATACATTAGCGATATGGTAATTTTCATAGAACAGAAATTCTGAGACATCTGCGTTGAGAGAAGAGGGACATCTACTGGTCACAGCATCGCTGAGTGAGGGCAAAGTACCAGGGAATCCTGCCAGGCCACGTCTGTCTTGCTAAGAGTTGGGAAACATGGTTCTATTCTCCGTGGGTTTCCTGAACCTTCAAGCTAGCTAGCCCTTGACTCTGACAGCCAGTCACAGGCACTGAATACCAAAATCAGAGGGCAATGCCTCCTTGCCTCCCCGAAGCTTGAATTAAGTAGAGTACAACTGTGGAGAGACTGCACTGAAAAAGCGAAGGTAAAGTCATCTCAAGAGGTCTGGATAATACTGACCTCATCTATAAATAAGCCATGGATGACCTTGTCTAGAACGTCATGAGCTGTAGGTTACAGTGACTTTTAGCCTTTCATAATTTTTGTCCTTTTTAACTCTTCTAAATGAGGGGTTGACAGCTAAGAGAGAGCTGAGAGGTCAGACTTATCTGTGTCCCCTGCCACTGCTGCCTGTGCTTCATCGATGAACTCCAGCTAACACAAGGTCACTAAGTGCCTCAGAAGCATTTGAGTACTACAGCAAAAGTTGAGAGTGCTGCTTCGATCAATTTTCCTTGCATCTTATCTTTATAGAGATACCTGACGATGTTGGGTGGTGTTAGAGAAAAACAGCAGTCTGCAGCTTACCTAGATTTTGGCCTCTTGTGTCAGCCTAAGGATTGGTGTTTAAGATGTATTTGTCTCTGGTTTTGTTTCTTTTCACGGTTGTTGTTTCTTTAGGATTAGGTAGCAGGGCCCAGATTCCTCTTTTGTATGAATCTGGAATAATTCTTGGTATATAGAGAGCCATTCAGGAGTTACGCTGACAGATTAAAGGTACTGAGCCATATTTTGAAAATCAGAAAATATTTAACACTAGCATCAGTAAGAATCAAATGTATCCTGTATTTCTATCAAAAACATTTTGTAACTACTTTCTCTAAGACCCAAGTAAAGTGTTTCCTATCTACCTCATTTCAGAATTTCATCCTGTTAGAGGATTTTCCTTCCTTGGAGAGGTAGTGATTTGGAAATGCTGAGCATGAAAGAAGAAAATTGAGGATCTTTATCCCTGTTTACTTACATAGGTTTACAGGTCTTTCAGCTTCAACTGTAAAATAAGGAGTGCTGTCATAGCATACAAGCAAGGCTGCTGCTATATTCTTCGTAGCATGTTAGCCGAGAAAAATCTGACCTCTTCTTTCATCCCTTCCACAAGGTCATCAGACAAGCATACATTAAATCTGGGAATGGTTTGTTGTCAGGAAAGCAATATATTGCCAGCTTGACGTTTGTCACACTATTCGGGCTTTGGGTATTTTGTGAATATCTGTGCACTGGATCACAGTGCCTTAAAAGTGATTATGAAGATAGTTGTTATTTGGAGACTGTTCTGGCTCAGGAGGACAAAGAGTTTGAATGTGTTGCACTGAACCTGTATATTAATCTATGGATGAGGAAAACTTTTCATCTTATGTCATTTTGCTTCTATATAGTACGTTCACAATGCAGAAGCATTTTTTTTTTTTTGTCATCTTGTCATCTCTTATTCCTAGTTAATTTGGGGCCAGCTGCTAACTGTGGGGAGTATCTGATGAAAGGCTCCAGAAACTGCTTTAGCCCTGAACTGAAGTACAAGCAGCCAGATGCTCCATTGTAGTGCAGCCGTGTGGTGTGGAACAAACAGACAGGCAAATGTGTCTCTCGAACTGCCATGTCTTGCCCAGGGGACATCATGCCAATGTAAAGATGATTCATAGATGGACAGAGACTCTTAGGTTACTCCCTTGCTTGGTGCCAGCAGAGATGTGATGCTTTTGTGGCTTATCAGTGTTTGGCTGTAGTTCTGTTCTCTTTTGGTGTAAGAGAATGCGACTCCTGCTTTGGCATCTGTCGGGAAAGGGCATTATCATTGAAAAAAGATTAGGGAATCCTCTGAAGTGGGAATCATCAGGACAATTCCTGCAAAGAAATTACTTGGTAAGTGGTTAGTGTATTGATTTCTCTCTATACTTGTTTTCTTTCTAGCAGTGTTCCGTTTTGGCAGCTGTTCTTGGTGTACAGAAGTAACTTCAGAACTGAGTGCTGGGTAACCTTACTTTTAAATGTTAGATTTTGTTGTATCTGGTGTAGTTGCAATCCATTGCCTTCAAATCAGAATGGATCTGTGTGTGTTTATTTCCTGTTGACATGGTGATATTGCCAGTACTGTACCAATGGCATTTTTTAGCAGAAAAAAAAAAGGAGTTTGGAAAGACCGAAGCTTATTTACAACATGCATTTTGTGTCATTTAATTTTGCAAGGGTTTTTTGTTTGCAGTACATGTGCTATTTTACTTTATGGGTCAGTGTTGAAAGGTTGAGGAGCTTTTAAGGGACTACAGACTAATCCAGATCATACGAGGATAAATTTTTATACAGCTGTGACAGTGTTAATGCAGCAGTAATGTTACATTTTACTGTTTAACCAAAAAAACCAAAAACAAGCAACAAAAAAACCAAACATAGATAGTTGGTGGTAGCTGAAGGATGATAGTTGAATTTCAACAGTTCAAGGAGATTGAAATAAATGTAAGACTTGTTCAGGCATTTATCCTGAAATTATCACAAGCACTATGCCCATATCATCTTAGGTGCGGGAACATTTGTAGGAAAAGATAAGTGTTTCCTAAGTCTGTCAATGACTTCCAGTTATATCAGTTTTAATAAATAATATTATCTTTTCCCATGAACCTTGCTTTCTTTATATCCCTAGACAGTACATCCATACTATGACTACTAAGTCATCTTATTTATGCAGTTGGGAAAAGGAAATGGGAGGGCAGACTGTTAACTGGTGGGTTGTTTTCAAGCACAGAAACACACCTGAGAAAACCCAAAATGCTAGCTTTTCTCATCAGTCAGACTTGTATTTTCAAATGATTCTCAGACACACACTTACTCTATTTGCATATTTTATGCAGTACTTCTTAAAAAGGATAATTTGGAAAGGAATATTTAAATATTAATACTTGTCTTAATAGATGGCTACTTTTCCTAAAGCAAAATAGATTTATAAGGTCCATTTTTAAGGGAGGCTGACGAACAATTTCTTGTTTAAAAAGAAGTTTGTGATGTGCTTGTAATGTGTCGTGAGTACAAAAGCCTGCTTAAGTGTGTTTATCTGCTGAATTGACACATTAGACCTTGTTTTAGCCCATCAGGATTTACTGCCTGCAGTTTACAACGTGCCATTTTCCAGAGATGTTAGTATTCCTCCTATATAAATGATGATTTTTTCATCTGTTTTGCAGATGTACAGCACTCATTCATGAAAAGAAAAATATACTCATCTGCATCTCTTTATAAGTGTCAAATTCTGGATCCTGCCCAAGTCAGTTCAAGCTGCATGCACAGAATTTGGCCGGAAGCAAGAAGCTTCTTTATTCATAAGGTTAATGTTAAGCAGTGGACCAAATCCCGTCTCAGTTCCACCAGTGTAAATTATCTGTTGAGTAATCCTAGCATTACAATAGTATAATTGAGATCGAACTTGGCTTGTAGTGCTGTCTTTTTTTTCCTCTTCCTGTAGCTTTATCCTGCCAAGATTCTTGCTGAAATCAATGAGTGTTCATGTTAGGACCTAATCCTTAAGCTTCTTCTATACAGTACTGTAAAGTCTAGGTACAAGCTATAATAGAAAAATATATCCACAAAAAGGAATTACATAAGTAAGTGCTGTAATGCTGCTCTTGGCTCAAAGTCATCCCACTGATTACTGGAATGTTTTGCTCTTTAAGGATGAAAGCAAGAAAGCAAGCAGGATTTGAATGTGTAACGGGGTGTTGGATGAGGTCAGCGTCACAGAACAATTGTTGTGCCTCCCCATGGTTTGCTCTAGCTTATTAATATTTTGTTTCATTCCTTTTCTAAAACTGGACCAGTTAAATATGTCATCACATATTGTATACTGTTGCTTAGTAATAGCTAATATTGCCAGCCGCAACTGAAAGGGAGGCATATGTTTATACAGGCTATAAATAGAAGGCTTAATAAATCAATCAATGGACCGCTTGCCTTTGCTGGCAATGAACTGTTTTAATAGCACTGCTGATGTTACATGTAGTACTTGTAAGAATGGAAAGCACAATCGCTTTGTTTAGTGAAGGATGAAATAGTAATGGGTAAAATGTGGCTGGACTTTTCCGTGGTGTTACAGGCTGTGAAGTGGGCAATTTTTTTCCTCAACTCGGGTTATTAACATTATCCATAGCTGCAAGGAAGAAGAGCCCTCCCCCAAGACAAACTTTCCTACTTGTTCCTCCTTCAGTTTTCCTAATTCAGTCTTTCTGTATTTTCATGTTTTTCAGCAATGGGTAGAAGGCCTTGGATCCATCATACATAACTTTAGAGCTAACAATGTCAGTCCAATGACATGTCTCAAGAAACAGTAAGTTTCTTTCTTTCCTCTCCATTCTCCTTTATTTTTCTGTCCTTGTGTTTTCCTTCTTGGAATTTAAAAAAAAAAAAAAATGTTTTTCATAGTTCAACATTTGCAATCACAAAACAGTGTAGTAAAGAAAATGGTGATAAATTAGTTTAGGGTTTATCTTTCGTTGAGACCAGAAGAGGCCTCAAGTCTATATCTGGCACCTGTACAGGAGAATTATAAGAGAATTTATAACTGTTCATTTGATTTATTGATGTTGTATGTTTTAATTATTGTCTGGTTTGTTCTTTCATTAATGCATATGCAAACAAAACCCCATGAGTCTTTCTTGTCTTCGCGCTCGTGTTAATCAATGTACTGATTCTTTTGGGCTGCTTTTTGCCTTTACGGTTATGGAACTGCTCTGCCTCAAGCACTAAAAGGTTACAGAAAAACATTTTTATTACAGCACAATTATTTGTTTGTACTCATTTCACAGACATGGCAATAAACTTAGTCTAAATATAAGTATCTAGATCCCAATTTTAATAAACAGTATTTTAACAATATTTCATTCTTAATTTCAGCTGGATGAAGCTGGCCTTTCTAACAAACACAAATGGGAAAATTCCAGTTCGGAGGTAAGCACAACTGGGAATTCAAGTTTTTGTCAGGTACTGGTTGTATAATGTTAATAAAATTCTGTGGCTTAATAATGAAATATAATATAAATTTTATTACTAATACATATGTAAATATAAGTACAGAACTAGAACTTCTAGAACTAGTTCCGTACTTCCATGAAAACTAGGTAGGACTTCTTATCAGCCTAGTAATTTTTTTCTTAGTCCATTGTAATGAAGATATGAGTGCTTGTAATTGTTTTCAAAGTCACTTAGAGCTAAGAGCATCAGTTTTCTCAGCTTAAAACTCCTCAGACTCTGGGATGGGTTTTTCAGTTGTAAAATGTCACAAAATACTTATCAAAAGAACCATAAGAACTTGGAGGCCAGTTAAGTAGAGTACAAAAAGATACATTTTAAAATGTAGTTCCTTGTAAAAGAGACATATAGCTCTGCCAAAAATACTTCTGCTTTTGTAGGAACCCCAGGAAAATATTTGGTTTTCTCCACATGGTAAATGAATTGTTGGGTTAGTTGTTGTCAGTAACAGAAAAGCTACAACAGTGTATTTCTTTCTGTACAGCTATTAACTATTGCAAGTTACTGATTTTCAGTCCTCCCTGGCTAGGCAGTAATTCTGCCCCCTCCTGCTCTAGAAATTAATTCTTGCTGATACATCGAATTTCATGAAAACCACACCTTTGGGGCATGCTGTTTTTTCATAAATAGAGACTCACAAAAGAGAGCAAGAAGGAGGACTTTGTAAGACAAGTCTCACAGAACATTTTTTTTCAAGGGAGAAAGAGAGGATTTTGCAGCTGTAGAATCTGCAAAACGACAAAGGGCCTGCCATGCTGCCTTCCAGGTTTCTTTAGGTTCATGACTCACGTGACACCTTGACAGTGTTAAGGCTGCTTCAATGTATTAATCTCTCAACTTTCACATTGCCAAGCGCCTGCTTATTTCTCAAACTTGAACTGAACTGCCATGAGGCACCTTCTGTGCAGAAGTCCCAAGGGGAATATCAACTGAAGGGTAAAGATGAGGGAACAAAACTACAGGGGCAAATTCATTTTCAAGAACTTTAGAGCTTTATGCCTGTGTTTGAACATAGAGCTTTATTCCTCAGGATGAATTTAAGGTGCACTAGCTTGTCTGAAACTGTTTCTGCCTTGAAATATTTTACCTCACATTTAGCGAGGCATAAGTTCTCTCCTACAGCACACTGATTCGCTCATGCAGACAAGCCCGCATATTGATGAAGAGAGTCCAGTCCACTGATTCCAGTGTATTAAATCTTCCTGCCGGATCTGCATTTTAGAGGACTTAAACGGTCTCTTAAAGTTGAATCATTTTTCTTTAAAATGTTTCCAGTTCCAAGAGTTTGTTTTTCAAATTTGCACTATTTCCAGGTTGACATAAATCAGTCTCTAGCAGCTTCATTTATTGCAAAAGTAGTTTGCAGTATAAATTTGTAAGGGATCTGCTATTCCACGCTGTGCAGAGGAAAGCTGAGTCGTCTTTACATCTGGATGCTCCAAGGAATGTGCTGTGTTGGCGTGGGTGAAATGTGGCAACTTCGGGGGGCTCATCCGCGAAGCACTATATCACCCGCTGAAAGGACAGGAGAGATGTCAGTGAGAGGCTGGAGGAAAGGTGTAGAGGAGGAATGGGAATGAGGGGAAAAAAACCAGTCTGCTCTGTAGACCTGCATTGGAAAAGACGGGACTCAGAGCGCTGATGGAGGACGGCAAGATCGTGAGACTAGCCTGACCCAGCAACAGCTACTTACCATGAAGTGGGACACAGGCACCCAAGGTGTCTCAGCAGTGGGCAGCCTGGGATGTGGGGGACTTCATTGCTTCCCTCCTCCTCCCATGAACACTTCGTGCAGAGAAGGAGCGTGGAGAGATAAAAGAGGGAACAGAAGGGGGTAGATGCATAAGGAGAAGGATATGTGTATGAGGAAGGCGAGCCAGGGAAGCACTGGGAAATGTGGGCAGAATGGCTCTGCTACGCAAGATGCACCACGTTTCACCTTGCTTACACAAGCCTCCCCTCAGTAACACTTTGCACTGGTGTAAACCTCTGATGCTTCCCCTTCAACTGACCTCCAGATTGCTGTGGTCAGCCCTTCCCATATACCTGTTTTTAAATACAGTGTTATCTAGTCAGCCCTGCTTCATCAAACCTCTGCCTCCTCCTGCTGCTCAGGGTCTCCTGTAGCAATTGCTGTAGCTCTGGGGATCCAGATAGGAAGGTTATTCTCTCAGAAACACAGTACCCAGCAGATCTGTTAAGCTGTAGGAATGTGTGTCATAAAATCACCTTTATTTCATTTTTACACAGAAGTGCAGTAAAACACTGAGGGAAATCTCACCTGGGAAATCAGAGCTCCTTGCATTTCTTTTCAGGTTTAAGACAGGTTTTTGCAGCTAGCACATGGCCATAGGGAATGATGAGCCTTGAGGCGGTGAAACTCCTTAGGCTGCCAGTGATAAATGGCATAAATATTCCTGACTCCTCCTCAGTACAGTTGGGGGTTGCAGAGTCATGAAGATTCTTCTCAACTACTTTGAGATTTTATTGTACTCTGGGGCATATATCTATTACTATCAACCTACTGTGTTTGGGAGAAAAGAAATTCTGGCAGTTAGTAGTGCGAAAACCTTAGGAGAACACCAGATTCGTCTCTTGGACTTTAAGAAATTTTAGCAGTCTGAGTCTAGAACTGCATCTACAGATTTTACAAGGACAGGGCATTTGGTAAGATATTTTCTATTTTCAGATTTTAACACTACTGCAAATGATGACTAAAAAGGTCAGCATTTGTTAAAAAAATTCTACTTGGCTTCTGCGGCTTTCTGCTGGCAGAAAAACTGATTTTCTACATGTGCAAATTGCACCTGTTCAGCTAGAGCCTGTTTAGAAATTAGCTTTGCTGAATCTATGCTTATCCCTTGTATAACTACATTTACAAGGATTTAAGCTAATTTAGCTTCTAACTATGAAAATACAAAAAAAAAAAGAAAAAGCTAAACTATGACAAATGAGGCTTAAATTTGTTTTACAGTAGTTTAATTAAGTTAATTTGAAATTACACTTTTTTAGTAAAGATGTTTTGTATCAATTACTCCAGAGTGCCTGGAAGAAATCTGTTTCAGTACTTGGATGGTGGTTGGAAATCATAGTTTTAGATAATTTCTTGTACAGCGTAGGCAGTGGTACTTCCAGTTCTAGCCAAACTGATAAATTCAGTGGAGCCATGATAAAAGATTGATTTGAACAGTTTATGTGTTGGCTTGTTTTTTGAAGCAATGGTTGGAAAGTGGTAAAGGTCTGAAGTAACAGAGTCATTTAATCCATTAGCAAGCACGACAGATTCGTACCCCTCAGTCCCAGATTTCAAAAGGATTTTAAGTACTTCTGGGGAAGACCATTGATGTCTTCCCATAAAAAGCCCCAAACCACTGCCGAACGTGAGGAGTGAATACCTGTAGGTATCTGTCGACCAGTAACTTGCATGCATCTGAAGTAGCCCAATTTTCTTCCAAGGCGTACAGCAAGGTGAATGTAAATCTGCTAGGATGAAGTCTCTTCTAAAAGAGGGAAAAGTAGTTTTATTTACAATATCCTTAGCAAAATGAAAGTGTCATGCTGTATTTTTACGATCTTTTTTGATTCATGCAGTCTTTCTAGACTGCTGTTCTCATTACAAATTACTGCTATGTTTGCTGTCAGCTTCGGTGAAATAAAGAGTAGTTTGGCATCAAAAATAAGTTCCCTGCAGCCATGGAATCTTGGCTCACAGTTTCCAATTAATTACTTAGCGCCAATATTACAGATTTTACATGACATTTATTATTGGGGCCCGATTCATTAGAACAGACAGAATTTTTTACAGGGCTGGCAATAGGTTGTGAATTGTAGAGCTTTTTAGGAGAAAAATAGATGCCTGAGGTTTTTAAGAAACAAGTGCCTAAAGTTAAACTCATTGTATGTTTTAGTGAAAACATGTTGGTACTTATCAGCTTTGGAAAATCAAATAACTTATTTAGGTGTCTAAATAGGGACATAGAAGTCTAACTGTTGTAAGAACCCAGTAAAAAATAAAAAAAAAATTGGCCAAGATCTGTTAAAATATTATTTTATCATTTAGATCTTTTGGTTCCTGATCTTAATTTTATTAGTATAAAAATATTTACTTAGGCAGTTTAGAGTGCTTTGGAGAGTAAAACAACTGTGAATTACTATGGCAACAAATAACAGCAACAGTTTTTTTCACATCTTTCACCATGGGAAATTATTTAGTATGCATGAGATTAACAAAAAGTCTCAGTAAATGTTTGTCTCTCTTGATGTTAAAGAGCAACATATTCTTACCAGGCAACTACAGAGTCTTTCCCAACGTATAGCTTTTAATGTAATGCTTTAGCATTAGAAATAGATATTGGATACAGACTTTAGTGTTTCTCGCCAGATTGAGACACCAAAAGCGAGGGGTTGTGGGACATACCATTTTAGTTTAGCCCCTCAACAGAAGGAAGGAGAGCTGTCAAATTTGGATCTTGATCGAGTTAGAGGTTATTCAAACTCATCTCAAATGGAAAAAGAAATAGACCAAACGCTTTCACATTAATCGTACCAGATAGCTAAGCTTTAATTGGATTTATTTAATTTCAAGTGAAACCACTTTGTCAGTCTCAGGCATGGTGAAATCACCCCTGTTTTGTGGAAGGAAGTGGATGTTAATCAGTTTGGTGGAAGTATTTGAGCGGCAGCTGAGACCTACTTAAATGAGCTGTGCATAGTACGTCTGGAACAGGGGTACTCATAAGGTGAGGGAGCGTTCAAAGGGAGGAGTGAGCTCTGCAGCTGGTGACGGAGCAGGGAATGAGATTTGAGATGCACGTGGGAGTCTCTTGATAGCAGCGACTGCTTGAAAAGGAAAGAAGGAGGAAGCTGCCATTGGAAATGGTTCAAGCCTACCTTATGGGTGACCTGGGAGGCATAGCTTAATGCTTGGAAAGGAAGGGAAGTCACCACAGCCGGGAATGGCTGGAGACATGCGTTTCCTCACTTGTAAAATCCGCTGCTTTTTAAACAGTCATTTATCTATGCATAGAGGTGAAAAGAGCCAACAGAATAATGCTTTGCACAGCTCTGTATCCCAGTATATTGGAAAAAAACCCTCTTCTTTTTGCAGTCCATTATTTTGATATATTTTCTAATGGATAGCTTGCAGGCAGAGCACTGCTGCTCTGTGAAGCTTAGAGGACTTTTTCAACTGCACTATTACTTGGAAGATGCTTACATTCATCAGTTTAAGCCAGAGGAAAATGTTGGCAGTAAAAGCGAGAGGGAGAGAACTGGTTGTTTAAAAAGTGACTAACATTTCTCCTTCCCACAAAACCCCCCCTCACTCTTTTTTGTTTTAGCATTACCAGAACCTTCGCATCAGGTAAAACAGAAAAAGTGATCTTTCAGGCACTTAAGGAATTAGGTCTTCCCAGTGGAAAGGTATTTAGTGGTTTTGAATAACTTTTTTGTATACTAATAAATTGATGAATCATTCACATTTGTAGCTGTGATCTAAGTTATTTGCATCACATAAAAACATGCATATTGTTCATGAGTAACTTATTAATCACTGTAGGTTGTTTACTAAAACCAAAATGTACTTAAATCTGTATGACATCTGTGACAGGACAAGGGGTAATGGTTTTAAACTAAAGTGGGGTAGATTTAGACTGGATATAAAGAAGAAATTTTTTACGATGAGGGTGGTGAAGCACTGGAATGGGTTGCTCGGAGAGGTAGTGGAGGCCCCATCCCTGGAAACATTCCAGGTCAGGTTGGACGGGGCTCTGAGCAACCTGATTGAGTTAAAGCTGTCCCCGCTCGCTGCAGGGGGTTGGGCTGGATGACCTCTAAAGGTCCCTTCCAACCCAAAGCGTTCTGTGATTCTATGACATAGTGGTCCTTAAACCTCTTAGATGAGGCTTCCCTTCTTTTCTGTAACAGACTACCTTTCATTCATTTACACAAAGTACGTGAGCACAGAATACGCACAGAATACTTTCTTTTGTTGCATGCTGTCCTCTCGGTTACATTTCTTGGACTGCTCCTGCTCTTTGCTCCCTTCTGTTGGAGAAGTGCTGCCCAGCTCTGTCCCACTCACAGCGGGAGCCCCTGCCAGCAGCCCCAGAGAGGTGATGGCTGGTTACAGTTGCAGCTAGTTTTTTTGGCTTTCTTCCCTGCACAGTCTCCCTTCTTTCATTGTGGAGACTCCAGTCCTTCGCTCTTGGCTCGCCGCAAGTGCCTGGGGAGGGGCAGCTCTGCAGGCTCAGCAGCTTGCTGTCTCCAGCCGGGGAGAAGGGGTGTAGAAAGACATGAATCCTCAGCCGTATTAGTGCCTGGCACCTGAAATGAAATTTTTCTCACTGCTGCAGTTCTCATCTTGTTCAGAGGAGGACACGATACTGAATGTTAGCCATGTGTTCCCTCCCTCATGGAAGTGTTACATGCCCCTGTATGAGAGCTGCTTTGCTTTTTAAAACCATTGCACCAAACCTGGGACTTTTTCTCAATGTTCCTTTGCTTCAGTATAAATATCCTGAGGTTTGTACGCTATTTTGGACTTTTGGGGGTGTTTTTAAGCTTCAGAAGAAAAATAAAGACTGTTTTCCAGTTCTGTGTTTATGTAGAATGAATGTTACTGTGAGGTCACAATATAGGCACATCAAACAGATCTATGATAAAGATGACTTAAAAACTGTTTTCAGAAAATACAAAAGAAACTAGATAAGCATATACTACGTAAAGAGCTAAAACTGTTCTCGGTTGCTTTTTTTGATATAAGATGTGCTCTTGGGAAAAGAGCATATAAGCTCTCTTTTGCTGGATAAATGTACCTTTGCATTTTGTTGCAGAATGATGAAATTGAGCCTGCAGCATTTACTTACGAGAAATTTTATGAGCTCACCCAAAAGATATGTCCCCGAACTGACATAGAGGACCTCTTTAAGAAGATGTAAGTTCAAATTTAATATAATCTTGCTTTAAACTCATTTTGTTGTTATTTTTAGTCCATATCTAATAGTGACAGAACACTGTAAAGATTATCTAACCTTGAATCTTGGTAGTATCAGCAGTATTTTATGACAAACTCAAGTCTATGTTTTTCCCCTTCCTTCCCTCTCAGATTGTTAATGTAAAAGTTCACTCTGTATTTTAGAGCAACTTTTACATGAGTTAGAGGAAGCACCTGGAACTTTTTTTTTTTTTTTTTTTGCATTGGCTTTACTAACTACTGTAATTTTAACTTGCTCCTTTAGGTGATTAACACAGTATGTGAACTAATTAAATTAAATAAGAAATTTGAAGTTTAAAGAGTTTCTGCACTCAATTTATTCTCAGCTGGAGGACTTACATGTTGTTTTATGAAGTAATGTTTGTTAAGTTATAGGAAGTATGGGAGATATACTGTGCCAAGCATAGACAGTTAATATGTTTTCTGTGACTGTTCATTTTGAGATTATAGAGCTACTTCAGGTAGAAAAGTAGGTGGCTTTAAAAGTATCAACAATGTCAACATGTAAATCATACCTACTGTAGCATCGTATATGAAAACTTACATTCTCTAATAAATTTCTTTTCAGCAATGGAGACAAAACTGATTATTTAACGGTAGACCAATTAGTGAGCTTTCTAAATGAAGTAAGCTTTTTCATACATTAACTACCATACAAGTCTGTCTGCAGTGGCTTGCTTCTTCCAATCTTTCCATTGCATGAATCATGCCATTATTTGCTATGCTTTTGATCCGCTGATCTTTCCATTATGGTAACATCCAGGTGCAAAAATCAGCTCCAACCTTGTATGTTGTGCTTTCTACATGTTGGCTTTGGAGATTGCATCTGTTGATTATTTGCTGTTGCGTTATGTTGTGTGTGATGTATGTTTTATACATTTTATACTGTTATATTCAATACAGTTTCAACTAAAATACACCCAGTATTTCATTATAAGCAATTACTTTACCTGTAGGCCACAGCTAAATATATCTGCTTATCCTTCTGAATAATAGGAAAAATGAAGTAGGCTTTTATAAACAGTGTTTTGATTCTTCTCAACAGTATTATTTCAATCTATTATAAATCTAAGAGCTAAGAGGCTATTTTAAGAGTTTGTATATGATTTTTAAAATACTATGTGTGCAGACTAAGAGGAAATCTTTTTATTGCTGTATTTCCAAAATACAGTTGTTGGCAAGAGTATCTAGTATTTCTTAAAAACATCATGAGTGTGCGAAGTAGTTCAATAAACAGCGTGGGATTGGTTTTTTGCCTATTCCTAAAGCACAGTAAGTTGTAGAAGACTGACTCCTTTGGAATTGCAACACTAAATGCACCGTGTAGATTTGACAAGAACATACACGTGGAAAATAAGCACATTCTACTTGGTTTTGTACCAGTAGATTCTTGTCATTTGGAACATGGATAGCTGCTTTACCTTTCTGCATGATCGTTTAGGGACTGGGTGCATTACTAAAAATCTTGTCATCTAAAATTATTTTACTAGTTATAAATCTATTTTATATATTTTGTATTTATTTATTTATCTGATACTGCTATATGAAGATTTAAGCAGTAAGTTCCCCATATATCAAGCTTAGAATAAAATTTTCTTTTTCAGCAGGGATTGCATGTCTTACTGTTTATCAAACCTGAATTACACGTAGAAAGAGTATTCAAAAAGAAAAGACAGTGAGAAGATTAACAGCTTCAGGACTAATGGTTACATACTTGGGGCCTTAGTTCGTATCGACGTAGTTCTCTGTTAGCAAACTGGAGCACATGCTCCATCTTGCTACTGAGAGATGTTCTCTTGTCACAGCTACTTGCAAAGTTCAGTGTCTAAATATTTGCAGGACTGGGGTCATAACTAAGGCATGTCATTTTTGCTTCTGTATTGAGGAAAGAAAGGATAATGTTGTGATTTAAATTATAAATTACCCCCTTAGAGTACCTCAGCCCTCCAATTCACTTGTAGTGATAGATATACTTCACTGCTTGAAGCACATAGCCCTGTCCCCACCTTGAACCATCACTTCTGGTTTTTTTTTTTAATGTTACTCCTCAGTTTTCAGTAAATTACTATTTTTATCATTATTTTAAAATTGAGCTCTGTAATTGTTTTAGTTTAAAGTGTGCTTCCTTGAAGCCGAAACTTCTGAAGAAGAAAGAGCTGCCAGCAATTGGAAGAATTTCCTGGCTATCTCCAGTAACTGATTAAAACATTAAAATTGACTTGTGCTCTCAGTTTTGTATTGTTTTAGCAGCTCTTTTTACAGAATTAGAAGCCCTATTTTATGGTCGGTGTTGGAGAAAGATGCATCTTGTTGGCTACATTCTTATCAACACAACACATTTTGTAATTGGAAGTCTTGTAGGCAGCCCTTTAGTTGGTGACCAGAGCTGGGAAAAATTAGGCAAGTGGTTTTATAGAGTAGGACATTCATTCTGATGACTGAAATTAATGCCTTTGGCTCTGTGCTGGAGGTCTTTTGGTCTCCAAATAGAGTTTAAAGTTTTGGTCATGATTTGAAAGGCACTAAATGACCCAGAATCTCCCCCCTGAAGTGATCATTTCTGTCCCCTTGACAGCTGGCTAACACTGCAATTAGCAGTGGTGTTTAATGCTGGAAAATATAAAAAGATTATTATCATTATATAGGAGAGGGGAGTTACTTGGCACAGCAATTCTTCATGAGAGTCTTTAACCTAAATTATTTTTAATGCAGTAACCTCCAAGGCATGCTGCAGAAGCTCTAAGTGTTATGGGTTTTTAAAGGAGCATGAGGATATGTTCCTGGGTATGAGTGGAGAGTGAGCTGCTTTCCTGGAGCTTTTCCAGCCGGCTGTCTCTATTTGACTTTTAAATGCTGCTGGCTGACAGCTGATTTAATTGTCTATCAGTATTAAAGCATCTGGGAAGTTTTTTAGAAACTTAGTTATTGTCAGGCACTAAGTATTTTGTTAGGTCTTCTTTTTTTAAAGTCAAATTTTGAAAAAAGGAAATATAGTAGAAAAAGAACCGAAATCACTGCTATTGAGATTTGCTCCTGCCGTTAATTTGCAGCAATAAATTAATAAGCCAAGTAACTGTCAAAATGGAAATTCAGTAGTCTGACCAGGACTCACCCTTTCTCCTGGGAAGGAGGTATGAGGAGATCCTTTTCTATCCCCCTCTTTCCGACTGCCCCGCCTCTTTCCCACTTCCTTGATCTTCTTCCCTCCCTCCCTTCCACTCATTTGCTCGCTCTTCCTCCCTCCTTCCCACTCGCTCGCTTGCTCTTCCTATCTCCATCTGTTTTTCATCTCCACAAAAAGGATCCCCTTCTTACCACTGCACAGGACAAATTCAAGAGGCAAAATTGGTTCTGGCACATTATTAACTGCTGTGCATTTCAGTTTGTGTCCACTCAAAGAGGAGACTGGAGGCCAGGTTGAGGAGGCTAAATGATCCTTCTCTCTTTGCAGAACCATACAGGCTTGCTTTCTCCCCATGCTTTCAGATGGTTCACCCTCATATGGTTAAGAATGTCTAGTGGAAGGGTGTCCTGTCTATTATGGTAACTAGAACAATCAAATGCAACTTTGGACATACACAATTAGTCCTGGGGCATGTTGTCTTTCTAGATGAAACTTCATGCTTTCAGTTTTGGTCAGCTTTTGTGTTAAAACTTTGCTGTGCCAACAAGCTCAGTAGAGCAGAACGTTTCCCCGAGAGACACTAGTAAACATTCTTCCTTTTTTTTAAGTAAAACTTCATTAAGTTTTCAATTTTGCTTTATTTTTAAAACTAAGTAAACATAAAGACGTGCTTTTGTTCAAATGGAATATTGATAATGAGCGATGATCATTGCTACAAGAATAATATTTTGCTCTTAGCTCCTTCCAATAACTCTGGGACTCTTTCTCAAGAGGAGACTTTTTGCTTTATCCCATTTATTTTCTTCTGTTTGCTTATGACTAACTGTAGAAGAAAGAGAGTGGGGAAGAGTACTTTTCTTGAGTTAAGAACCTTCCTTGCTATTTCTTAAAATTTTTTTTGAAGTGGTGTATTGTCACTAATGGTATAAAGCTTGTCATTTCTCACAGTAGACTGTACTGTTGCATGCCAGTGTTGTGTTGCTGTTGTGTGCTGCTTAGCAAGTTTATGTCCTGCGTCCATCTGCCTCTCATATCATATTTCATCTGAGTTTTACTTAGATATCCAGACAGCCGATCTGTAGTGAATGAAACTGCTGTATTTTAGATGCTGCAGACTGTCAGTAGCATTACTTGAAAGATCCCTCCTTAATTGCATGATTAAATTGGCATTGGTTGTAATTTCTTGGAATTAATTAAGCACATGCACCAATGTATTGATTGTAAGAAAAGAGATCAAGTGCTTATTTTTGATTGGATGTTGCTTTTTTACCCATGAAAAAAATATCAAAAAGTTTACACATAAGGAATTACAGCAAATGCTGATAGTGCTGTGCCAAGCCATATCAACACCATCCTGTCCACTCCAAATTATTGATCACCGATATGGGGGTGGCCTGTTACATTTCTGAATTCTGCTTAAACTAAAGCTTGAAAACTGTGCACCTACTGGGGTAAAAGAGTGTTTTCACAGTCATATTTATTTCTTTGTTTTATTGCATCTGCTTACATGCCACTACTCCTTTCAGTTCTCTTTTTAATTTTCTTTTAATGGAGAATCAGGCACACAGTGTGCAGCTCTAATTCAGCATGGAGAAAAACAGAAGTTATGTAGTACACTATTAAGCAAAAACTTAAAAACTCTGAATTTTAGTAGTGTATTAGAAATCACTGCTAAATTGGATCTAAATATTACATATATTATGAAATCCTAATACTGTAAATTACTGTGACTTAAAGAGATGATACTGTCAAGCTCTTTTAAGTTGTACATATTTCTTCTAAGAACCTACGCTGTTTTTTGAATAGTTAATAACACAATGTTTCCATGATTCACAACTAAACATCAGTAGTTGCATATTTCTAAACTTGGGTTTCAAATTCTTTATTTATAGTATAGCTTTAATTTTTACTTTAGTTGTAGATATTGCTGAAGACGTGCGTTTTTGCAGAGGTGATTACAGTGCCATCAGTCAAGTCTGTCAGTTTACATGACCTACAAAAAAGATTAGGAAGAGAGAGGATTTACAACAAAGAGAGATTTAGCTATTTATTTTCCACATTTCATTTGCACGTTTACCACGTGCGGTCATTATTTTCATGAACAAGCAAGAGTAAGACCAGTTATATGATTGCACTGGATTGTTTTTTTGAAATATTTTTATAATCAAACTGCCTAGGTTTCTTAAGAAAGATAAGGTTCATTTTCTGTCTAAAGCTAAAGTTACTGCTGAATAGTCTGTAAGTTTTAGGCTTTTTTTTTTATTTTTTAAATGTCCACTTCTTTCTTTCTCATCTGCAGTAATGAAATGCTCTTGGATGATAGCCATGCACTATATTGTTTTGCTGAATTCCGTTGTTTTCTAACCTTAGCATCAACGAGATCCTCGGCTCAATGAAATTTTATTTCCCTTTTATGACACAAAAAGAGCAATGCAGATAATTGAGACATATGAGCCAGATGAAGACTTGAAGAGTAAAGGTAAATGTGGGAGGGAATTCAGTATTCACTGGTTTTAGGCATTTGGGGAATTTGTTCCGAAGCCTCCAAACTTTCAAAAGGGAGTTTACAGTCCTAGTGGTCAGGGGGCAAGCGCTTGTGTGGCCACCTAGTGAACTAGATCAGGAAGCTGATCTGCTGAAAAATATCTCCCCCTCAAAGCCAGTGATTTTTTAGAAAGATTATTTGCTTGATCCAAGTTACAGTGTGGCTACAAAGGCAGCCATCCTGATACAAAATGGGAGAGGCTAGGATTGGGTAAATGGGCAGCAACATGGAGACTCCTTCTAGCAACAAGGCAACATGCATGTGGCTATGGCCAAGGTCTCAGAGAGAGACTACAAAGCTGGACAGATACTGTGTAAAATGAAAAATAAATTACCGTGCGCACCGTTGGATATGCATCCACCTTCTTATAATATAATCTGTATAGTGCTTGAGGGCAGCAGCCTAGCTTAGAACAGGGTATTTTACGTGGGTGCATTGAAAAATGTTCTCTCTGAGGAAGGAGATTGCAGGAAATGTCTCCAAGCCATTCCTGGACTGCTCGTGTCCTGAGTTGCTGTGGGTGCTGGAGGTGTCAGTAGTTGAACTTGGCTCCCAGTTCTTATCCAGTCTGCTGAAATAGCTGTGTTGGGATCAACTGCAGAAATTAAAAATGTTGCTATCCCCATCTGTCCTTCCTGCTTTTTTGCTGGAAGTTATTGTCATCGTAGCATGCAGAGGAGGAGACTGCAGCCTTGCAAAGCCCATAGACCTTCAGGCATCCTAACAGGAAGCCACTTTTACTAGACATTTAGGCTAATTTTTCAAGCTAGCACTGAAGAAGCTGACTAGCTTTTACACATCCACTAGTGCTGCCCCTGCTGATGATGTGTGAAGCAGACAACAGAAGGAGGCAATATCTTAAACTGCTTCAGTAAAGCCCGAGGCAGCTCTCGCTCAGTGCTGCAGCCTTGTTGGGTTCCCTGCGTGCCTGTATGTTGCTTTATGATCACAGGCGTTGACACCAGCAATGCCTTCCACAGTGACTCCTGCCCCTTTCACTTTCTTTGGGCTAGTGGTTGGGAAGAGTTTACGGTTGTCTTCCTCAGTCTATAATCTTAAGGAATCCTTCTGTAGCTGGATGTGTAGCTTTTACCATTCCTTATAGTACTTTAGTCCTTTTGACCAAACCGCTAGAGGAAGAGCTAGTACTGTATATGCTACTCCAGACACCGTGTTGTATGCTGGGTTAATAGATTGCTCTTTTAGTTCTGTGAAAACGCGGACTTTTCAGGAATCACCTGGGAGAGAGGGAGATACTTCTCTTGCCTAGGAGTCACTTATAAACGTTATGAGGATTTTCCACTCACAAGCAGTGTAGCTTATTTCTCTTCCTCCCTACATGAAATAGAATTGTCCAAGTATTAATTACTTGATTTTAGTCATCTCTATCCTTTTTAAAATTTTTTTCTTTAAAGGCACTCATCTGTGATTCCTCTTCATGCCAGTGCATTTTATTTTCTGAAGTGAGGAAGGAGTACTAATGTAGCTGCCACCTGTTTAGGATGGAAGATGTAAAAACATGTTTTATGAAGGTGGAAATTAATCTAGAACTGGAAAACAATGTTCAGTAATTCACAAAGAGCAGGATTTGCAAGCACCAAGCTGTAGCAAGGGAATGATACTGGCTTATTCTTTTAGCCAATAATTGAATCTTGGCTCATTATTTAGCTTCTTTCTTTGATTTACAGTTCTAACAGGTTTTAAATAAATGTGGTAAACCTGTAGGGGTAGGGTAACAATAGAACAACAGCAGTTTCCTCTTAAAGTGGTCCTCCATTGATCATATGCACTGATGCAGATTTTATCCCAATGCAGTCAGTAGGATAGAGAGATGATTTCATATAGTTACATGTTGAACCTTAGCATGTAAAGGCAGCAAGAATTTATCTCAGCAGTGATTGTTCTCTGCAGTCTCTTTCCCCGTTTTCTTAGATATAACTTTGCTGTTGAGCAAAATAATTAAGCTCAATACCTTTTTATCCTAAACCATGTAGTTTAAGAAACAAGGCAGTAGCAATAAGCAACTGACTCTTCCTCAGTTACATTTCAGTAACAGAAAGAGTAAGTAAACCTGAACAAGTTAATGCTGTGCAGTTTAGTAACCAGAGTCTGCTCAGGAACACTAGAAAAGACAATTCTTCCACCTGGTCAGTGCATGTCAAAAATACAAAGGCCAGTCTGTTGAGAACATAGAGCTCTGATAAGTTACTGAAGTCTCAGCCATTGTTTGTCTAGAACATCTGCCCAGATGTGACTTTTTTCCACTAGATGATGCGCTAGAAGCGCGTATCGTCTGAGATACTTTGTGCTGCTGCTTTTAAGTTCTCAGTGATCAACAAAACAAAAACATTCTTAATGTTGAAAATTCCATTTCACCCCCTTTTTTCCCTCTTCTTCCAAAAGTCAGAATCAGCTGAGTGAATTTGAATAAGATGTTCCAGAACAATTCACCTCTGGCTGACACCAAGCACAGAAAATTTAAGCTCCAGTAGAGGATTTTTTCCTCTAGAAAGCTAGGAGCAGAATGAAAAGCAGGATTACTGGTGTTCTCTGTGTAAGACAAAAGTTGTCTTAAAATAAAAATAAGACTGCTGCAACCTGTGCCTTAACAATAGCTGAGTGTTCGTATGTGACTTTAGGGAAAGCAATCTCCAAATTAGTGCCAGATAACTATTCTCTGCAGTGACTCCTTGTGAGTAATCCCTCCTTCCCTACCCGAGATCATTTTGCAGTGTCTTGGCCACTTTAAAACTAATATTGCAGTACTAATTATTCTTAACCTTGTTTTCATTAAAATTTATCCCTTGATTTATATTTTTTTAATACTTTATGAAGCATATAACAGCAGAGAAGTAAGAGAAAAGTATTATGAATTCTGTCCTCCGAATTACCGTACATCCCATTGTAGAAAATGGCTTGCTTTTCATTATAAAGGAATAAACTTGTATTTCAGACAGTAAACTTGAAGGTATCTTAGATTTTCCTAATGCTGTGCAAATGAACACGTGCAGACATTTTCAGGTACACCTCCACTTGTTTTTGTCAGTGGAGAACAGTCTCTGCACATGCTGCAAGCTGATTAACAGCAATATAGCACAGTCAGGGCAGGACTAAATATGAAAGAGGGAAGAAAAGTGCTGTAGAAGGTTGGTACATGCAAGGTCATAATTTCTGGCTCACAAAGTCCCAGAGCTCAAAATTGTTGGGGGTATTCTGCAGAGATGTCACTACTTATTTGCCTCCTTCACATCCTCTTGTTGCCTTAGGTCTACTATGGTGAGTGCTGGACATAGGAGCTAGTTGGGCACCTGATTTTTTTTCTTTTGTTATCTGGGAACACAGTGGCAGATTTTGCACCAGGGTCACACTTGCTGGAGCATTGGAAGGGGAGAGCTTCTGTTTGCTTGCAGAAGCCTGTGTAAACATAGCTTTTGTGCTAGTGTTCCTGCTCTGTGAGACGGCTTGATTCCTGCCCACTATAAATTTCTAGTAGTAATTTGCCATGCTTTCTTCTTCCTTCTAGGTGTCATATCAAGCGATGGGTTTTGCAGATACCTAATGTCAGATGAAAATGCCCCTGTTTTCCTAGACCGTTTGGAATTATATCAAGAAATGGACCATCCTTTGGCTCACTATTTCATCAGTTCCTCTCACAATACATATTTAACAGGCAGGCAGTTTGGTGGCAAGTCTTCGGTGGAAATGTACAGACAAGTGCTTTTGGCTGGATGCAGGTTGGGAGCAGGAGATAACAGCCTTTAATATTTGTCGATCTAATACTTTAAACCTACATAATATACCTTGGTGGTGATATATTGCATAATTGGATGTATAAATATAGTAGTGTGGTAAATGAAAATATACATATTTGAGAAACTATTTTTCTCACAAAAAACATTGAAAGGCGGTGGAATGTAGAAATTGATGTCAGGAGGCAGGTTGTGAGAAAAATAACAGCAGTTTGACCTCAAAATGACTACTGAAGAATTTCAGAGAACTTTCTGCTTTGTAATTAAGAAGTTTATATGTAAATGAGAATCAGTTTATCAGTTCCTGCGTAATTTCTTAATGTACTGCAGTGTGTCACAGTTAACTGAGTAAGAGAATACATTAGAAGAGTGTTACAGTGCTAAAAACATTATTGTTCAGGTGTAAATATATTGACCCACACATAGTATATTTGAGGTAATATAACCAAAGCTATAAAAGCAGTCTGAAATTATACACATGCAGCTTAAAAGGAATTCTGTAATGCCCAGAATGGCTTTGTAACTTACTGCTCTGAACATCACTGCTCAGAACTTGTCACGAGTAGCCCGCCTGTACTGTAACACTAAGGAAGCTGACATCATTTTTCTTGGGTCTTTAGATGTGTTGAGCTGGACTGTTGGGATGGCAAAGGTGAAGATCAAGAACCAATAATAACGCATGGAAAAGCAATGTGTACAGATATTCTTTTCAAGGTAAATGCTTGACCTCTACACCTGGCAGTAAGCCCCAGTAGAACCCCCGGACAAGAATCCATGCAGGGCACCCTCCCCTCCTCAGCACCCAGACGCTGCTCCCTTGTCACAAACTAACAAATCGCATAGGCACAGTTTCTTGCCCTCAGATCTTAGGGCTCATTTCTGACTCACATCATACGCCCCTGGGTCACGTCTGCCTTTCCACAGAAACTGCAAGAAGCAGGCTTGCTTCTTTTGCCCCATATTTTCACATCCTGTGGCTCTTTGCACCACAGATTAAATATCTTCTCCATTGTCTGAGAAGTTCCTTAGCTGTGGAAACAGTCTGAAGATGCAGGAGTTACTACGGGAGTAGAAATTCTCCCCAGCAAGAGAAGATGGCAGCAGATCCAGGGGTAGCATTGGTGGGTTCTGGGTGAAGCTGCCATCACTGCTGCAGGAGCAGCGAGGCACCTGTTGGGCGCTGAGTCCGGGTTGTTGCGGGGAAACAAAGAATGAGCATACAGTTTGTTCTAGTTCTGGCTTCACTTGGCACATTTGAGACTCAGCTCTGTGTTTCTCAGGGTGGGGTGGAGAACAAAAAAAATCTCTTTCGTTATGATTGTAATTTGATCTGTTCTAATTTGAATCCTTTTATTGCATTTTAAAGGATGTAATTCAAGCCATTAAGGAAACAGCATTTGTTACATCAGAGTATCCTGTCATTCTTTCATTTGAAAATCACTGCAGGTATATAGTGCCCTTTTTTTTTTTTTTTTTTTTTTAGTAGTGCAATGTATGAGAGAGATGATACAGCTCAAACGTACTATAATTTGAGTGTACTTGAAAGCTGTGTAGGGATATGCAGGTATACTGAATGTCACTTGGAAGAGACTGTACTTTAATATACTAGTCAATCTTTATCTAGCTTAATAATGGCAATATTTTTATCTGTGGTAAAGCTGTGAAATATATTTGGATGTTCCATTAGTTGTGTGGGATTCAGTTAATCTACTTTTTCGGTCTTACTAAATTCATCTATGTCAGATAATAGACTTCTATTGGCAATTTAATTGCAGTAAAGTAATACTTCTCAGTTGAGAGAAAGTGGACAGTATATAATTTGGGATATATACTTAGCATTATTCTGTTTTTCAGAGTAATAGTGATTTCTTTTTTTATACTTAAAAATTAACTAACATCATCTCTTCCAGCAAATATCAACAGTACAAGATGTCAAAATACTGTGAAGATCTTTTTGGCGATCTCCTGTTGAAGCAGCCTCTAGAAACACATCCAGTATGTTATATTCTGCGACTCTTTTTTTTGTTTTTTAAATATATATATTAGCTGTATTTAAAAGAGATGATGAACTGGGATCATATCACCTGTAGTGCTGTTCACTGCCAGTCCTGTGCTTTCAAAAACAACTAGTGATTTTGGATGTCTGCACTTCTTGGTGCAAGCTTGTCTTTTTCTGATTTGTTTAATCTCTTCTGTACAGGGCTCTGGCGAGCAGCCTGGGGAAATCGATCCCCTTGATGTGTGACATAATACCAGCACCTACATAAAATACACCACATACATTGTATTTTCAGGTCATACATAATTCTGAAATTGCCAGTCACTGTTGAAAACCAATTGATTATAAATTGCATGCTCTCAGCTGAGGAAACCTCTTCTTTCAGCTGCATTTTGCATGCTTCATGCTCCAGATCAAGTCCTGCAGTCTAGGTGGCCCCCACTGCTGCATTAAGAATTAAATTAAGCGCAAAGAGTTCCCTGCAGTCTCATTTGGACTCTCAAGTGCACTGTAATCTGCATGCACTTCACTCTACTGCATGGTGGGAGATAATAACAGCCGCTCCTTCACACACACAGTATTTGAGACTCTAATAGCTTGTTACCTAGTGCTTGCAGCTACTCCTCCAGGCCTTCCTTACTCTCCTGAGCAACATGCTCACTGTCTGCCAGCAGCCACCCAAAACCTGCAGATGCTCTTTAGTGCTGTGGGGGACTACGGCAAAGAGGACTCTGCCTTACCTTTCAGCTCCTGTCTGTGTGACCCCTGCAAAGGGGAACTCCTGGCATTATCCTCTCTAGAGCTGTGCGTTTCTTGGCTTTCCTTGCATGTTGCAGGGACAGCAGTGCACAAGGCTCAGTGAATATCAGGTTGTTGCCCTGAAAAGTGCATCCCAGAGAACTAAATCTGTAGTGTTCCCCTGTAATGTATGTAGCACCTTGCCATGTTCCTCACAAATGACAGCTTCCAGCAGCTTTCAGGGAAGCCTAAAACAGAGCTTGCCAAGGGCTGCAATGCCGCTACCTCAGGGCCCAGTATTAAGCCTCAGCTGCCTGTGCTCTGTAGGACTACTGAGCCTTCTGCATTTTGTGTCCATTCCTCCTCATGGGTGAATTCAGTCCCCAGCTGCTCACAAAGCACATGTTGCAGAGATGGCAGGAGGAGCTTGAAACGTGTATTTTATGAGTGCTTGGTTTCTGATACCTTGACTGACTGAGGAGGGCAGGCTTAAGAGAGACATGGCACTGGCTGAAGCAGATTTGGTTTTAAGTAAAAGCAAGTATTTTTCCAAATGGGCATCCAGCTATGCCCTGTGCTTGGGGATGCAGACTGGCATCCTGGAAGCCTGGGGATAAATGAGCTCTGCAGCACTGACATCTAGTGGAATTACAACCCAGGTGCTCTCAGGAACAATTCTGTTTTCTCTTCATCCAACATGCTGAAACTTGCATGACTGAGCTAGCCTGGTGGTTGTGGATAATCACTACCCTCCTGCAAGGAGGTTTGCACCCATTCTTGTGAGATTGGGTTGGGTTGATTTGGGGTTTTTCACTGGTTTCTTATTTGTCACCTTTGCTGCTTTTATTTGGTTTCAGGCCGTGCTTCGTTCTTTTGGTTCTTCAATTAGAATGTTGCTTCTGCGTAGCTCAGAGTTGGATTAAGGATTAGAGTATCTGAATATTTCTTCTAAGAATTTTTACTAGTTCTAGAAATATCTTCTACTCCTGTATCACTTATGGTTCACTGGAAACCACAGTCCATTATACCAGCAACTCCCTGCATGATATTCTTGGCAAGCCTGAGGTGAAGAGGATGCTAATTACCGTACCCCAATCTCTGTTTCTTAGCCTCAGGGATCTGATGGGGCTGAAATCAGGATTTTGTACTTTTTCTTTTCTCAATAATATTTTTTCTCCTTCCCCAAACTGGAACAAACCTTTTAGTAGTACTTCCTTGCACATGTGAAACTTGCCATTTGCCTTTAACAAATACTGAAGATGTGACCCTGTAGCCCTACTGGCAGAAATAGCCCTCATTACCTAGCTAAGGACTGGGTAGTTTTCCATTCCCCAGTGCCAGCCCATTTCTACTCTGTAAGTATGTGTGGGCTGCTTCACGTGCGTTATTACAGCTTGAAGGGACCATAAAAGGTGACTTATTTAGAGATCAAATGATAATGGGCTAGAATGATAATGGGCTAAACTGTGAACCACAGGAAGAGATGGAAAGTAGGAAGTCCTCTGATGAAGACTTGCAGGTCACATCCATGCCCGCTGCTAGGCAGGAGAGAGGGGGAGACGTTTTGACCAGTGCAGATGAGGATGGCATAGGTTGGAGACCAGTGTGCTGGCTTCAGCCAGCAACATTTACCTAAGCATAGCTTTCCCATGGGATATGGAAGAAGCAGAGGAGACAATATAACTGCAGTCACACCATGTCCCAGGGTTGTGCCTGAGGTGGCACTGCTTGTTCACTGCCCCTTACCATTGCTGTCCTAAAGTCAAAAAGCCAAATAGGGATACAAAGAGGCCAAATAGCCATTACTAAGCCTTTTCTTTAAATTATTTTACAGCTTGATCCAGGTAAAGCCTTACCTTCTCCTAATGACCTCAGAAGAAAGATTCTTATAAAGAACAAAAGGCTGAAACCTGAAGTAGAAAAAAGTAAGTAAAGCTTGTCAAGTATTAAATTAAAGGCCAGATAGATACGAATAGACTTTGTTGCTAAAGTTTCCAAATTGCTTGTACTTCAGTGTTGGAAGAACATGAATTATATGTAAATGACACTTTGTTTGCCCTTGTGTTTCATATGAGTGCCAGAGTCTAGGCCTTGATATCAGCATGTAACATAGGCATAGATAGACCTAGAAATGTAATCCTGGGACTTTTATCAGATTGCTGGTTGAGCTAAAATATAACGCAGATAGAATCTCTTGTAAATTCTGCCTACAGTGGTATGTTTGCATTGCTGTGTTTGTCCAGGATAAGCATAAAATGAAATGGAATTTCAAATTGCTCTTCATGCTATTGTTGCCAGTTCTGATATTTATCTTTTTTCCGTAATAATAACGTTGCTCTATTAGTTTCCAGTATGGCTGTAGTGATAAACCCTGGTCCTTCTCCGTTCAAAGATAAGCATGCAGACCTTCCTCTGACTTCAGTCATACATGATTGTGTTCATACTGTCTAACTGAAATGCACATGGGAACACAACTGAAAATCCAAGCACTTTGCCTCCATTTGCATAGATCAAGCACCAAAGAGATAGCTGTCTACTTATTCTTTGAAGAATATGCTTGCTCCAAAGACCTTTGAAGTTTATGAAAATATTTTTCTTAACTTCAGTGAGCTTTGGATACAGCCCTTACTGATCACTTTTCAGATCTAACAACAGTGTTTGCCTAATGATGCTCTTACTCTGTAAAATTTTATTGCTAACTGAAAACTTAAAGAACCCATTAAATAAAAGTAGCTCTTGGGATCAGAGAATCATTTATGATTGTTCTCATGTATTTATTTATTTGTGCTACAAACTGTTCATGTCATGACTAATTTATTTTTAACAGAACAGCTTGATGCTCTGAAAAAGATGATGGAGGCTGGGGAAACTGCTGCTCCTGTAAATATCCTAGAGGATGATAATGAAGAAGAAATAGAAAGTGGTGAGTATTTCATAGAGAAGTGCTCTCAAACATTGCCTGTGGTAAACCAATAGGCCAGCATGATCAGCTACTATGCACGTATGCACCATGCCCATGGTCTGTGGCAGCAGCACGAAGTCTGGGCTCAGTGCAGGACCATTTATACAGACCTCCAGCCTTACCACCTCATCTCAGATACATGCCACAGCTGCTCCTGGCTCTGTGGCAGGCTGTGGTAGGAAGGTGAGCTCAGTCGGTGGAGCTAGTGGTAATTTTAACTTCCGCTTACCGTTCAGAATTCATATTGGAGCAGCAACCAAGTCAGATTTTCACCGTGTGTATATGTGTGTGTGAGAGATTGGGAAGCTGTGATCTGTGCTTTGAAAACAGATTTTGTCACTGGTTTTAATACTTGTGGCAACATCAGATTGGATTATTGCATTATACTTTATAAGGATAAAATGAGGGATAAGGTTTTCCTTGCCAAACTTCAGATGTCTTCACTGTAAACATCTAGATCTGAGCCAGTGATGTGGAATGTGTTTATGGACAGCAGAGAAAAATAGACATATCTAGGGTGTGATTCACCTTGTCTATTTTAAATGTCCACCTTCAGAAGAGGTAAACCATACATTTCCTGCAAGTGTCTGAACCAAGGTACTGGCCTGTGACCCGTGTCGTACTGAACATCCCAGCTTTAGCCTACCCCTTGGTCCTCTCTCCTTGATTTTTTTTTTTTTTTTTTAAACAGTAGCACAAAACCACTGCTGTTGCAGTCAGCAGAGGCCCTCATGAAAGATACTCTTTGTGATCCAAATCTTGGTGTCTCTCCTTGCAATGCTGAAAAAGACTGAAGTACCTCAATTTTTTGGAGAGGCCTCTCAGTATCGTTCTTCAGGTGGTCAACGAGCACAGAGGAGATTCTGTTGCTTTGCAGGCTGATTTCCATTGGAATGCTTATTTCTAATAGTGTTCTTATTGTGCTGTGTTGTTAATTATGTGTTAGACTACCAAGAGGCTCAAATAAGTATTTTCTAAAATTATTGTTTAAATCCATATGAATAATGTGATTAATGGTTTTGTGTTTGTAAGGGGCCTTTTTAGCTTCTTTGACTACACTAGGTTCTAACAGAAAATCACCTTAAAATGAAAATTATTCCCTATAGTAGGGGCACATAAGGAGACTCTAACAATGCGCATGAGAAGCCTGGACACCAGCAATGTTTTACATCTTTAAATAAAGAACTCTGTCTTCATTTCTTGTTATTTCCCCAAGCCTGTTGTGGTATGGTTGGTTTGTTTTTGTTTTTTTTTTTTAACTCTTTTGCTAAGCACATTACTGGTTCCTTCTAAAATGCAGTAAATAAAATTTCTCTTACTAACCATGTCAAAGCTGTAAGAATCTCAGGCCTTAGCTGTAACTTACTACTAATGCTTGGGAATCTAATACCCTGGATTTTATTTCTGGTTTAAAAAAATGCCAAAACCAAACCTGTGTATTCAACTGTCATTTGTTTCATGTCTCACTCCAAAACAGCAGTTGCTGTATTTTTTTGCACTGATCCTTTTTGTTTTCTGTGCAGCCGACCAGGAAGAAGAAGCTCATCCAGAGTACAAATTTGGAAGTGACCTTACTGTAGATGATTACAGTCAAAAAGAATCTGTTGCCATCAGTGTCAAAAAGGTAGGATTACTTCTTATATATATTTCTTTGGAAGCTTTCTGTGGAGGTGGTTGTAAAAGACAGTCCGTTTTGTGGAAGCATCACAGCACATGTTGTCAGAAGAGTCAAACCCGAGGTCTTCACCGGATTCCTAACCTTTAGGTTCATGAGAAGACGAATTTTGTAGCCGAAAACACTCTCTGCTTGTTCAGGTAGAGTACTTATTGAGGAAACAGACTCAGTATGTAGGCAAACAGTATACAAGTGGATGATTTGATAAAAAATACTAATTAAAGGCAGCAAGCAGTTTCCTGCTCCTGCCTCTGATATTTTACTTTGCATCTCAGTTGCAGAGCCCTATATGAGGTGGAATGTCAGCTTCCTCGCTCGACAATGTTTTTTTGCAAGGCTGTGTCCTGTGTCTTCGTTACAGGGATTCCCTGGGTCATTTTTTATTGTTAACTCTTAGGGTAGATTCTCCCTTCCACCTACAGCAATGATGGCAAAACAAGATGGTCGTTCTCCAGTAGGGTGGTACGGCAGTGGGGCTGTACCAGAGAGCCAGCTGGCAGACAGGTTAAGAGTCTCCTTTATTCCACTCATACCTGATTTAGTACAGTTTATCAGTCTGTGCTCAGTAACTTGAATATTACTTGACAGTAATTAGATACAGAATATTGGAATTCAAAACTAAGCCTGCTCTGGCACTGAAGGCGGTTTTGCTGCTTGCTACAGAAATAACCCCACATGTGAGTGCTAAGGTACCTTATCAGATCATGCTCCTCTCTCACTCAAGCATTTTGGCCACGTCTTCTCTCCTGCCTGGCTACCTTTGGATCTTACTCCAGATAGAAGTGTAGGTATGGAACATCTTTCATAGCACAGATTGCCCTTGGCAGTACGTCTCTAGCAGTATCACCAAGACATCAGACCTTCCTTCTTGGTATCTCTTCAAGTCAACATCTTTACTTCTTCTTTTATGAATCCTCCCGCTGAAGTATTGTTTAACTTATTTGCTCTAGGGCTGGTTTCACTCTATTTAGTCAGCTGGTCCTTAACTACCTGAGTGTTTTGGGTTTTGGTGTTTTGTTTTGTTTTTTTTTTTTTTTTTTTTTTTTTTTTTTTTTTTGATTAGTCACTCATCCTCAGCATATGCCCTTGGGTAACTTCTCTGCTTCTTTGCTGATTAGTGACTCGATCCTTTTTCTTTAGGAATGTACATTCAGTGCCAAGTCAACATTTATCTGTCAGAGATTCTCAGTAGTGGCAGCTTGTAATTGAAGACAGACAGCAGACTGTCCCATTGTAAATAACATCTTGAGATAGGCCTTTTCCAAATGTGGATATTTAAAGCACAGTTTACAGCAGTCTTAACCCTTAAGTTTTCAGAGCCTGGGCAGTTTGCATATCAAGATCAGATGATCTTTTGTGTTGTCTGGGTGTGTCATTCTTTCATTCTTCTCTGAAACTTCGTGTCCCCAGCATCTAGTGGTAACACTGGTTTGGGCTTAACGGTCTGGCCTCCTCCCTCCTATTCCCATTGCTCGCCAGCTGTTGAATTTCATATCTTCTGTAGCCGAATTTGAAAGAAACTGCACATTTTTTCAAATATAGGGGATAGATGAGCCACACAGGAAGGTGGAAAAGGGTATACTTTTTGCTAAAAGCATTAACTTTTTGAGGAATTTTTTTTTCTTACTGTGAGTGTTTCCTATTGCTTTTTCTTTGGGTAATGTATATATATTTTTTTCCCTTAGGCTGTTGAAGATTCTGAGCAAGAAAACAATAAAAAGGTGACACATAGGATGTTATGTAGTTTGTTTTATTGCTTTCTATATAACATACATATTACTTACCATGCATTCTTAGTGGTTTAACAATTTTATGCACCGTTTCACTGCACCTACAAAGTATTTTTGGAAGTTATTCTACCTCCTTTTCTCCTCTAGGGTTTCTTCTGTTGTACTTTTATACTGGGGTTAGGGCTGTCAGCAAACTGGGGGACAGACAGGAGTGCATGACTTCTGCCTCCTTAGAAGTGTCTGATCTCAGTCTCAAATGTGATGCACTGGGAAACAGCAGTGGTGTTGAGTGGTTCTTTGAGTGGTGTTGAGATGTATCATCCCTGCTGCTTTTTTTCCACCACCCCCTCCCCCTCTTCCCTTACCCTGACTGCACTTTGTTTTCCTCTCTCTTTTTCCTCCTTTTGCTTTCCCTTGGGACTTCTGCATTTATCTTCTCCTGGGAATCCCTTCTCTGACTCTTCCCACCTCCTTCCACTCTTCTCCTTCCTTCTCTTCTCTTCTCTAACTAAACCTGCTCCTGTTCCTAACCACACTTTATTTCAGTCTGTGTTGTTTTCTAAGTGGGTTCTGCTTCTTTTCTAGAGGGGTGGGGAGGTGTAAACCACCTAGAGAGATCAACTTCCCCCATTGTTTCCTCTAGCCCCTGAAAGGGTCATTGGCTGTTGTAACCATTCCTTTGTTTCCCTAGGCTTTAAGAAACATCGCATCCTTACCCCTTTCTAATTCATAGTTTTAAAGTTGTGAACACTGCAAAGAGTATAGCCCATTTACTCTAAAAATTATGGGTCTGCAAGTAAGTAAGATAGAATCAGTGATGAGTATATTGTTTTAGAACATTGTCTTAGAGCTGGTGTGTCAGTAATGCAGTCATACAGGCATAGTCTGCAGGGTACTATTGCCTTGGCACTAAGGCGTACATAATCCCCTTTGACTTCCTTTTCACTGTGTTTCAGTACTTAGACATTTATGGATCAAGATAGTAAAATATGATGAGCAATTCTGAGCAGTCAGCAGGAGGCACATTGAAGGAGCCTGGTTTTTAGAAGATGGCTGGTCAGTTCTTCCTGAATTACTGGCCTTCCAAAAATGAAGACACTGAAAAAGACTAGTTCCTTTGAAGAAATTTGGCCTTAATTTGATCTAAACTCTATTAACAAATACTGACCTAGTAACAAAAAAATGCCTGTATTCTACTAATAAAGAGATGTACTATTTGGCATATTTAGGGAACAGATCTGTGAACCCTCAATATGTGGATTCCTGAAAAGCAGTTGGGCTGGTGATCAGCATTAAAATTTCATGGGCCACTGAAAGTTTAATTAATTCTAAAATGCACATAAAACCACATGCACCTGGACTCTTTCCGATAACTCAGCAATTCTATGCAGTCAGAAAATTACCTTCCTTGTGACTATAATCATCTTACCGTATCAAGGCATAAATTGTTTCACTTCACATGGAATTCATTTTTTGAAATATGTCTGCACTATATGGCAGGTAGAGCTACCTGCCCATAATACTAGCAAGTAGTTTCACATTTCCTTTCCTCTCCCATCTCCTGAGTAAATGAGTTGCAGTAGTGTAGGTACTGTGAACTGCATTGTTCTTCCATGCTTTAATGCTGTTAGACATGCTGAGACTTACTGCCTGAGAAAGGACTTCACAGTGCTTCCTGTTATTCACTGTTGCCTGATACAGTAATGGAGGAGAACTTTCTGGCAAACACAGGTTGCATTCTGAAAACAAAAAGCTGTACTGTAAGAATTTTTGAATGTACTTAGTACTTCCTTGCAGAAGTTCACTGTCAGCCTATGGTAGGTTAGATTTTTTTGGTAACTGGTTCACTAGTAGGAGAACAAGCAAAAATGTTTGTGGGAAAAATGCTGTGAACAGTAAACCTTGCGGAATTTGCTTAGATTGAGAGAGATCTTTCTTTTTCTTTCCTTTCTTTCAGTGAAGAGAATGTGTTTCAAACTAGTTTAGGGAAAGGAAAAAGTTGGACAGGTAGATCCACATCAGAAGCGCTTCCTATTATGGGTTTCTAGCAGATGAGATACTTGTAGAAAACTTTTGAAGTTCTGTTACAAATATAGCACATCTTCATGTGATGGATGGATTGATGATGGATGAATGATGGATTCAGATTTTTATCATTTTAAGTGGCCAGGAATATGAGCTTGGTACTGTGTCTCTTGTTGGTCTTGTGATATGCTTGTCCAATCAAGATTGTAATCTCTATAGTTTGGTCTGTTTTTATTAGTAAAGATTAGCAGTTGAACCTATTTGTGTTTTGAGGTTGAGAAAGTTCTACTCAGTACCAAGTATGCATTACTGCAGCACAGTTGCTATGAGAAAATCTATATTAAATTACAGTTCTTAGGAATTTATTTGACAATGATAGATCATTATCTCCCACCATGGTTCAGTCTGTTGTAATATTTATCTTTTATCCCAGAGTTATCCTACTAACATCATGTAATGTTTACCCACTGCTTAGGAGCTTTTCTATCATCAGTCCTCTTCCATGCATCCTGTAACATTGAGAGTGTTTGGTGCATATATCAGTAAGAAAATAAATCTTAATTTGTGACATTAGGTTTCCACTTTTCTTGTATTAATTTGCACTTTCTTTAACTTTCTGCAGATTTCGGTATAATTTTGTATCACATTTGAAAATTCCAGCAATAGCGTTTGCACACAGAAATAGTGATTATTCTTTTTAATGTGTTTTCAGGGTCTAGTAACTGTTGAAGACGAACAAGCGTGGATGGCATCTTACAAATATGTAGGTGCCACAACCAATATACATCCATATTTATCAACAATGGTCAACTATGCTCAACCTGTAAAATTTCAAGGTTTCGATGTAGCAGAAGGTAACATAAAAGGTTGAATGAAATAAAAGTATTTGTCTGCTTATTCTAGGTAGATTTTTAATCTCTACATTTCCTGAGTTTAGAAATGGCGTAAGACTTTTATAGTTCAATGACCCTCATCAGTATATTGTTAGATCTCTGTTTCCTTGAATGTAACGTTAGCATGTTATTCCATTGGTCATCCACATGGAGTCACTAAATTACTGGGAGAATATGAAGCTGTTGAGGTTGATTATATTCTATAAGCTTTTCCAACTAAACTGCTTTTTTTTAGTTCACCTTTTTGTAAAGTAAGGTGAGTGTGATCATCACAGTGGTCAGCAGTTAGCTGATGCTTTCATGTTGCCCACTAGACCATTTATCATGTTGTTTTGCCTTATCTAGCAACACAACACAGGCTCTGAATAACAATTTTGTCCTAAACAAAAAATGAAAGTTTGTTGATTTCTCAGGAAGTGAAAGAAAAAGGCAAGTCAGAAATATTATGAAATTTCTCTCCAGTATAATTTGATTCTATGAGTGACAGATAATGGGGAAACGGACCAGAATTTGCTATATCTTGCTATTACGTATAGTCCATGATTTTGAATTTGGATTCATCGTTACAGAAGTGTTGTAAAATGTCTTGTCTTTTCTTTCTAGAACGTAATATTCATCATAATATGTCCTCTTTCAATGAATCGGTCGGACTAGGGTATTTGAAGACCCATGCCATTGAGTTTGTGAAGTATCCTTTCACCTCCTTGGACCACTTCTCTACCAATGCTACAAATACACAAGTGTACCTTTCTAGATTTGCAGTGTTCCACATCTATAAAGGAAAAGGGAAAGTAGCTCCTAGGATGAGAAATAGTAAGATTAACGTAAGAAATATTGAAGATACCGGGATATGAACATACATTTCTACGATGTTTTTATTTACTTTTCCTTGATGAATTATACAGTTATAATAAACGACAAATGAGTCGGATATACCCAAAGGGAGGCCGAGTGGATTCCAGTAATTACATGCCTCAAATTTTCTGGAACGCTGGCTGCCAGATGGTCTCACTGAACTATCAGACCCCAGGTAGGCAGCAACGACCAGTGAACCTCAATCCTAAAGAATGGCTTGGGCAGTAACTCTCAAACAGATGCCATGGATTTGCTTCTGGCATTTTTTGAGGAAACAGACATATGGCTAAATAACACGGTGGGGTGGAATTACGGAAGCATAAGACAAGGAGCAATAAAAAATCCATACACAGAAGGAGAATTCGATCCCCTTTCATGGAAGCATAACAGAGTACTGTAACTTCTCACATAAATGATAATGTTTTATTAATAAAAAGTATTAATTACAGGGAAATCACTGTTTTCACAAAACACAGCTTTGGCACAGTTGGGTGCATGTCTCCAAAGTAAAGATGAAGGAGCGTACAAATTAAGATGGTAAAAAGTAACGACTATGTGCCAAATGCGTTTCTAGACCAGTTATTGTGAAGTGTTAGAGAATTGTGTTCTGCATCAGAGGATGGGGTCTGAGATCCCGACTTAGAGAATGATGCCAGGGAATGTAAATGCCTTTCCACAGCATAAACTGAGAGGAATGTATTGTTCCTGTTCAATGAAGGTGTGAGTATAACTAACAGGGTAGGGGTTTTTTGTTGTTTTAGTTTTGGGGGTTGTTTTAATTAATCTAGGAATGTCTTCAGTCATATATGTAACAGACCAACAGACCAGTTTTTCCATTTTCTTTTTCTAGCTGTGATAGTGCTTTTTGTGCTTTCCCCCCCATCCTACCCCCTCACCCCAAGTCATTTCTTTAGTACTGCGGACGCTCCTAATGATCATACCCTGAGCTCTGTCCCGCAAAGCTTTGCGCTGATTTCACTAGCTGTGGAGGCAAGAGAAAGCTGCGCTGGGGTACACTGCCTGTAGAGCGCTCCTCTGGACATGATTTGGAAGTTGGAGCAGTTATGCAAGCTTCAGCCTTCTCCCAGCACTGCCTCTGCCCACTGCATGTCATTCTCAACCCCTTTATATTACAAAATAAGAGTGTTAGTTGTAAAACGGGAAGGGAGCAACTTTCCTGTATTAGTCTTCTACGATCCAACTGTGCTGACAGGCTGAAGAATAATGGAGGAAATACAAGTTAAGGCCACCCAGTAAAGCAAATAATAACTAATGTGAGCATATGAGAATCTTGTATTTTGTGTAACAGAGAACATACAGAAAAGAATTTGTCCCTTTTGAAGTCAGAGTCTGTTGGGCAAGAGAATACCTGTGTTACCGCTAAACAAGGATGTTGTATTCTAGTGTAATTGGAAACCTGCAGGAGAACTATATTTTTTGCAAAGTTTGGGAGAGGGTTGGAGGGGAGGGGGGTTATTATGTGTTTGCTCTCTGTGCTTATATACAATTGCCATAACAGTACATTGAATAAAATTCAGATGCTTTAAATGTTGAAACTAGGCAATGCTGCTGTGATCTCTGTGGTTTCTTTTTCTCGTATTTTATTCAAGTAAGTCCGTAGCAAACCAGTGGGATATTCATTTCACCTTCTTTGAGACATTAGCACACAGATGGCTTCATCAGAGGTAGTTGTCTATGGTCATTGTAGAGAAATACACACTTCTAGGATGTCCCATCTAGTATGGCTGCCTTAGAATGAGATTATTGCACTGTTAGAAGTGCCTGTATCCCTCCATTACTCAAAACTATTCTAGATCACTAGCAGGACTGGAGACATCTATGCTGTAGATACCAAAAGTTAGATGATGGAAATCCCATCTCAGGCACTTAGCAAGACCGCAGTCTGATGCTTCTCTGCCTACGGGGAGGGTGTGTTTGAATCCAGGGAGAGGCTGTTTTCTAAGCACAGCGTAGATTTCAGGTTGATTGATAAAGCTGTTACTACTGTGAAGAAATCTGAAATTTTCCTGTTGCTTCCTTTCATTTCTTAGATGTGTGTGTTTTATATGCATTAAATTTAATTTTCATTGAAACTGATTATTCTGGACAAACAGTCTTATTTTCTTTTCTAAAAAGGGATTGTTCATGATCTGCATTATTCATAAGGAAAGATAGTAATTTTTTTCTCTCTTGACAGATTTAGCAATGCAGTTGAATCAAGGAAAATTTGAATATAATGGATCATGCGGGTGAGTGATATGATTTAAACTGTTGTCACTGTGTATCAGAATCCTTTACTATGGTTTTAATAAAATTTTGTCACTATTAATCATGTGTTACAAAAGAAAAATAGGATGCTAGGTGAAGAGTAGAAATTAGCAGCATTCAGGGAGAATAATCTCCTGCAAGGAGGTATTCTGATGACTATGCTTTTTAATTATGCCCAGTTTTTAAAGATGAGATAGGAGAGGCTTTGTGTGCAAATTATGAAGATGATCATGAATACCATACACAGTTATTTAAATACATCTTCAGCTTCTGTTCTCAATCCTTCTTTGAAGATACGTCGCAGAACAGAGATTCATTGCACAGTTCACAGAATTGCCAAATTTACTTGGACAAGTTGAGTCTTAATACATAGGGATCATTTTTTTAATCTGTGTACTTTAGTTGGAGAGCAGATTTCACAGAGAATACTGAAGTGTTTCAGCTCTCTTGTTCTTGCTCATGACTTTTGCATGAAAAAGGATGCTCAAGTGATGTTGATAGATTTTTCTCAAATGTTGAGTTTATACCTTAACAGGATAGGCTAATCATTAACATCGAGAGAAAGGAGAAGTTTAATGAATTATTGGAAATGACAGTCCAAAACCACATTAAAATCTGCAGACTCGTCCTGGGAAGAAACAAGTCTTTTACGAATGCAGATCTTATTCAGTAAGAAAATCTGAGTAGGTGAAGCTTGGTAAAATTCCTCATCAGAAGAATAGGCAACATAGTACTTTGCCGCTCTATGCCTTTATTTCAGTTGTGAACCCTTCAAACAGAGGCTTTGACAAAGGTGCAGACTCTGGTCATTTCAGTCAGAATAACAAAAATAGAAGAAAAACAAAGCTTTTTTTTTTTTTTTATGGCAGAGTATGATTCCTTTCTTGTCTGACCCACAAGCCTAGTAAAAGAGCACATGTTCACTTTTGCCGAATGCTCTAAAGGATGGGCATCATTGTCAACTAAATTACTTGATTCTTATGTCAGTCTTCTGGTATTACAGTAATATAGTGGTAATACATGGTAATACAGCAGTAATATTTTGATATGCATTATAAATGGATACTGTTTCAGTCACAGAAAACACACAGGGCAGTGAAAATAAAAAATTACATTTCCTTCTATCTGTACTCCTTCTTTCTCTGGTTTACAGTTTTCATGCTGGTGAAACAAGATGGAGTCACTCTAGTTTCAGCATTTTTTATTTCAGCAGGCCGGAAGCAGAGGCTAAGGATGTTTCTGATAGTTCCCTTCTGCCCATAACCTGCTTTTAATTAATAAAATATTATGAAATCGCACACATTTATAATTTAAGAAAAATGAGGAATATTACGTTCCTAAACAGAAGCCATGCTATAAAAAAACTGGAGAAAGCGTTGACATTCTTTCTATTGGAATTTTTCCAGCATTTTTAAATAATTTCTGAATTCTGTCTAGGCTTTTATAACATTGTGTACCAGTGATTCACTAGAGGGACTAAGGGTGGATAAAGAATAATCTTCAAGCAGCTGTTGTCTGTCAGGTCTGCAGAATTAGCAAGATGACTTCAGTTGCACATTTTCTTCCACCAGTGGAAGAGAACCCCTGTCATGTGTAGCACAGCATTTCTGTGATCAACTGCTATTTCATTTTGATGGCAGAATCCTTGGGTTTTGATTCATCAGAGCACGTATCAGCTTCATTGATATGTTGATCCAGTGTATAGTCCTCAGGGGTGTATTGTAAGTGTTATTATGGTAGTACCTTTCATGCTACTATAATTAACAATCTGTCAGCACTGACATTATCAGCTGTTTCCCCCAAGGTTTTATAACCGAGATGAAAAAATTAGCTTCAAGCTGAAATTTATTGTATGGGTCTTGACTCTATGGAACTGCTTCATTAAAAAAAAAAAAAATATTGAATAAGCCCTCTGTATTTTTCCAACGTGTTAAAGAATTAAAACAAATGAAACCTTCTACTTTTTATTATATGATAACTTGCTGTATTTTTAAAATGTATTATTAAATTATTTTGAAATGTTCTTGATTATATTACATTTATTTTCATCTTGAAATCCAGGATTGATTTCCTCTCTCAGTAGCTGGTAATTCAGAATTAAGATTAACATTTATCTGTATTCTAGACAACCGTAATATTTCCTTTTACTTCCTCACCCTTGCAGCTAGAATGATAGTCTGTATTTTACAGTGCTGTAGGGAGAGTTAATTGTTTGAAGATAGAACATCCATTTCATTTGTATTTAATACAGTTTTAATTTGCACAGAAGAATAATTTTCTTCTTCTTTTTCTTGAAATAAGGTATCTACTTAAACCAGACTTCATGCGACGACCAGATCGAACATTTGACCCTTTCTCTGAAACTCCTGTAGATGGTGTAATTGCTGCAACATGTTCTGTACAGGTAAAACAGCAATAGACAAACTTCTGTCATCTTATCACATCCAAAATCACATTTAAATCTCAACAGAAATAGGATATCTACAGAAAATGTGTTTGGATTGTGTGGATTTCATCAAATTGTTTCCAAGTCTTTTTTTTTTTTTTTTCTTTTTTTATTGCCGGCTAAGACATCTATGTTTACTTGATCTGAGTGCAACATGATAGAATTAGAAATGGTTTGTTATTACACATTATCACTGAATTTTAAACCCCCTTGTGCTCTTTTCAATTACATCAGCCCACACAAACGAATAAACGAGTGAAGTTCATTTCTGTGGACAGTATGAAATCATACAGACATCACTTGTCACCATAGAGCAATGAGGAATATGGGCACACATGGACAGGATATTTTCAAAATAAGTAGAGAAAAATGGTTCATGTGGTGGAGGTCCTTACTTTGGAGTTGTCTATGAGTAACAAAGTCCATAAATAAAACTTCTGTTGTAGTTCTAAAGCACGGTTAGGTATCACGTTTTGGAAGGAGGCTGACAACTATAAAACCAGTTTTGTGACACTCTTAGCTCAGATGCCCTATGTGCAGCTTAACAAAAGGCTTAAGCTTTCAGTAAACGCTTTCTGTGTGCAGCATGGACATTTCAAACTCTGTCCGATCAAGATTTCTTAACTAAGTTTCATTTGAACCTCCAGAAGAACAAAACCTTTTTATTAACGTTGTTTTTCTTTAATGTTAATGACAGTACAACCCCTCCAAGAAGGAAGTGGGATGTGGAGGAGGTGGTGAGAACATAAGTTCTAAGTATCACTAGAGATACCTCTTAGATCACGTATTTTGCCACTTGCTCTTGTTGTGTGACTAAAAGTGGTATAAAATTTCACACAAATTCTGTTATAAAGGAGTTGAGTGGACTGAAGCCAGTAATAGTACCCCTCAGCCACATAACTTTTCAGATTTGTTATCCAGAGTGTTCCCTGGAAGAACGCTAGATCATGAAAAGAAAAGGACTCGAAATGAGCTTAGGTCTGTGAAATTCTGTTTCATTTTTTTTCCTTCCCACCTTGATCATAGTAATGAAAACATTAGCTGTATTTTTAAGTAGTAGATCATCTTGATGGAATAAAAATGTTCCCTGGACTAATGGCCTGCTGTGGCTAGATTAATCTTGACTTGGAGTAAAATTGCAACAAATCTTCATATGCATAACAATATAGAGGAGTCATGTGGGGGTTTTTTTGTTCGCTTTTTAAGCATCCTACACTTCCCAGACACATAATATGGAGTTAGCCTGACTTGTGATTAGTTTAAAACCTTTACCTAAATGAAAGCAGAGCAAGAGCTTCCTTTCACTTCTTTGTAGTCAAGACATACAATAGATGACAGTGCTTCTGAACAGAAAGTTTAAAGTTGTGGAATAGCAGTGCCCACTCTGGTTGTTTCATTTGGTGTTTTTCAGTAATATAGTGAATGCATCTGTGAGACATCAGCTAATTGGGCTGACTGACTTACAGCTGTTAATACCATAGCACAATGAGCACAATCATTTCAACTTAAGGATATATTTAAGGTTTTATCACAAAAGCTTTTCTGAAGTAGTGCAATTTTAGCACTACATGTACCATATTCATATGATGAAATAAATGTATCTGTTCTGTATAAAGCATTTTTCAGATTGCTGTCAATAAAAAAAAAAACAAACAGTATTTCCAGTATGCATAAAATGCTGTGTACTTTGCATTGCTTTTCCTGACTGCTCTGTTATTATGTTGCAGGTAATATCTGGTCAGTTCTTATCAGACAAAAAAATCGGTACGTATGTAGAAGTGGATATGTATGGCTTACCCACGGACACGATACGTAAAGAATTTCGAACACGCATGGTGATGAACAATGGTCTGAACCCTGTTTACAATGAAGAATCATTTGTATTTCGAAAGGTAGGATATTTGGAAAGCACAGTTTGTGGTTGCCAGCCCTTTTGCATATGAGCATCCTTGCTCACTTGAGCCACCCCTTCCTGCTTCAGTCTGACTGCTCATGTGAATAAGTACTGCTCCCATGAAAAAGGGTTTGTAGGGTTCCTGTTTACTACAGTAAACAATCTAAAGCTGAAATAAGCTTTCAAGAGGTTGTTTGGGTTTTTTTTTTTTAATTTTGTTTTATTTTTCTAATGGATAACCTCTGTAGCTGTCACATGATTTTTTTTGTTTGTTTGTTTCTGTTTGGCTTTTCCCTCCCCTTTGCTTCCTCCTCCCACTTGGAGGTAGCCACCTCCTCCGTGGCCATGCCTGTGTTCAAGGTATGCAGTCTGCTCAGAATGAGCCCCCGCTGGTGGACACCATCATTCCTTGGAGATTTCTTCTTCCCTGCCCTGGCAGTGGCTGCTATCTTGCACTGTTCCTTCAGCCCAGAGGGCAGGTGAGATGCTGCATCCAAAGCTAAGGTCAATGTTATTACATGGAAAAGTTGGAAGGGTGCTGTGTTCCTCAGATGTGTTGCCAGCTCCCTCCTTCAGTAGTCCATGTGCATCATGTACCTTTTCCTTTTTTTTTTTTTTTTTTTTTTCCAATACAAAAGAAAAACAAACCTTTTTTTCTTGGTATGGGGGATTTAAAGAGAGAGATCAGTTGTCCGTGTTCAGTTTTTATCTCTCAGTCTTTATATATATGATACACATATATATATTTTTATTTTTATTTTTTTCTGTCGGCTGGAGTTTCATCCAGACTACATGTGTTAGCAGTGCCGTCTTTGATAACGTCTGTTTTGCTTACACCTGTTTTGTTGTCATGCAAAATTGTTGCTCTTTTATTCCAAAGTGACAGACTTTGCCGAGTTGTGATAACACTTCACACTTGGGTATATTACGCACATAATCTGTTTTCTTAACAGTATAACCAGTTTTTAGTAGAAATGTAGTTAATGCAAGAGGTTATTCTGGATTCAAATATATTCTGGAACGAATGTGACTTCAAGTGCTTTTCTCTGTATATGAGGAGGCACAGGGAAGATGCTTAGGTACAGTGACAGGCAATCATGCTGCCCATGGCTTGCTGGCCATATGGCCAGCATCTGCTGCTTTCTGATTTCTTAAATCAAAAGGCTCATAAACTACAGAGCGCACACAGCTTCAGTCTAAAAGGGGGGAACCTGTGTATCATGGCATGGGTACAGTGGCTGATGCCAACATTCCTTGGACTTTCTGCTCTACTCTGCAATGAGCAAGTACATGGTCGCACATTCTCTTGAAAAACTCATACTATAACTCAGCCAAGAGATTATTTTTCTTCATCTCAGGCCCTTATCATGTCAGGCTTAGCATTGTAATCAAGACGTACATTGATGACCAAGCAGATGAGTGGCACAAACACAGCAAGAACAATTCCTCTAGTTGGAGGAAATGAAGGCGAGGGGTGCACAGTGCTAAAATGTCGTGAGGGTGGAAGTGCCTACCAGGATACCATAGAACAAATTAATAGAGAGGGAACGATAAACTTAGTCCCCACTCCTGCTCCCTAGCAAATCTATATCTGAGCCCATCATGTAATGAAAGATGCGCTGATCTGTGGCCTGTAGACGAGAGATCTTACCGGCCCTATTTGGGTTACAGTGTTCTCCTCAAGCTGATGTTTAATCCTACACAGTTGCTCTCAGGTAATGTGTTTGATTGTTCTTCTGTCATGTTTTCTTGTTTTTATTTTAATTAAAATAAAGCTTCAGTCATTCTAACCCAAGTTCTGTGTTGTCACTCTGTTGTGTAAGGGGGGGGACGGGGTGAGTGCTGGTGGTAACCTGTGCTGGGAGTGCTAAGTTATAATCAAGTAGAGCAGCGTATCCGTGAATAGCTCAGGTGGGTTCAGAGAACAAAAGCATACTTTATTTTGTGCCCTCTAAGACTGAAAACGAAAGTGGCAGGGGGAAAGCGTAAGGGAGACAGCAGACAGTTTACTTAGGTCTCCCCTTTTGTCCCGTAAGCGTCGATGAATAGAGCCAGGTAGGGCAGGAGTGGGAAGACCCCAGCATACAGTCGAGGCAGGCTGGCGGAGAGGCTTCTCCTCCCTGCTCCGTGTACAGAGGCAGCACCTTTGTTCCAGGGAAGGCAGGGGACTGTTTTGGTCAGTCCAGACGGGGGCTGACAGATGCGGCTAGCTGGCAGCATCCCTGCCCACCATGCGTACCATGTACCCTTCATGTTGTGAGCACAGCGCAGCCGTGTCTGCTGGCAGCACGCCGTTTCAGCAGGTCTGTCACCCCGTCCTGCCCTCCTCTGTCTGCTTGTCCCCTTTGCAGAACCAGTAGTTCAGCATACATCCCCATCAGCTTGTGCTTGCACTCTGTCCGTTCTTCATTGCCCTTTTGGATACCTCCCAGATCCCATCCTTCTGTCATGGCTTCTCCTGATTCAGCACCATCTACCCTTCGATCGCTGCTGTATCTGTCATTTCCCAGGTAGTATTTACCTGCCTTCTTCTGATGTCACCAGTCTTCCGTAATGAAAAATAAATATGCAAAATACTTAGTGTAACTGTAAGCTGCAGGATTTGCATATTCTGAAATCTACCCATTATTTAGGGTGAAAAAAAGCTTTTCTAGGAAAGATTAATCTCCAGGTGTGCAGTTTGCAGGGAATGACATTATCTTACAATGATGATAGTCCATTTCTGGCATACAGAGCGAATGGTTCAAACATGGGAGGCGGGGAGGGTGCTACTGTATTAGTCATTGAATTTCTTCATTTTATGGCTTTCCAGGTTATTCTCCCTGATCTTGCTGTCCTGAGAATAGCCGTGTACGATGACAATAATAAGTTGATTGGTCAGAGGATCCTGCCTCTGGATGGTCTGCAAGCAGGTTACAGACACATTTCCCTTCGGAATGAGGGCAACAAACCACTCTCCCTTCCAACGGTTTTCTGCAACATTGTGCTTAAAACATACGTGCCTGACGGTTTTGGAGGTGAGATAAACCTGTATCTCAATGTGCTGTAGATCTTGAGTGTTGGTGTGGAAGTACTGAAGTACTGCGGTGTCAGTCTGCCAGCTGAAAGCAGAGACACGGTGCTGGAGGATTGGAAAGATTTAGTATTTTAATGCCTTGGAAACCCTGCATATTCAGTTAAGAAATCAGCTTTCAGACCAAGTGCCTGCCTCACTGTTAATGAGATGTGTCTGTTAAATGACAAATCAATATGGAAAATAAGCTAATACTAGAGGTAGCTCAATTTGATTTTCTCTGTTGAAGTTTTAGGAAGATTTTTTTTTTGTTTGGTTTTTTTTTTAAAATTACATTTTTTCTGACATAAATATTTGTAAGGTTATCATGTATTTAGCTACATTGTTTGGCCTATAGTTATAAACAATTCATGCAAAATCTAGATGTGTTTTTTCAAACAAAACCACTTTTATATTCTTGAGAATATTGGCATATTGTTAAAAATGTGAAAGAATTTAGCATCCAAAACCTTTCTGCGTTTTTCTCTCCCAATTTTACATGGTTTTGGTGTGTTTTAATTATTTTTGGGTTTTCAGGGAAGTTGTTTTTAATGTGAGCCATTTCCATGATCAAGTTGGCAGGGCCATGGTCATTTATACTGAGTGGTGGCAAATTGCCACATGTGGATAGGAACAAGCAGCTGAGAATAATCATTACACCACTTGAATCAGTGTGATGTGTAAGTTCACCCTGAGGGTGTACCTCTAGGAAATGTTTTCTTCATTGCAGGTGAAATTCACTTGTGCAATAGACAATATGTAAACTATTTAAAACTCTAAAATAGAAATTGCATTAAACTTTAGTGCTCTGACGCTGCAGCAAAATGAAGTTCACCTTAGAGTTGATTGGTGAAACGTTACTGATAAAAATGATGTTTTGCCCGTTGCAAAAAGGATTTCAAACCTGATGTCTATGCAAAGAATTACTACCACCTCTCTGACTGTAATTTCCATAGTACAAACTGGAGAAAGAGAAGACTTATCTGATATATTAGATGATGTATCTTCAAGACTCTGCTGGTATTTATGCAGGCTTTTAAAAAAATGAACAGGCCTAGACTTCGGGAACAACATTTCATGGAAAAAGGCATTTACAGCAGCGTTTGTGTCGTTCATACCTAAAATCCTGGTTCCTGGCAAGTCAGCTGGAGTTTTGCTGCAGGTCTTGGACCACTACTATGCCTTTATGCAGCATGTTTCATAGATGGTATTTAACTTCAGGGACTTTGTCTCAAGACAAATGTCAGCCTCTGCTTAAGCTTGAGGTTCTCGAGGCAGTAATGGAGTCATGAATCTAAGGGACACATTTAAGCATGTACTTTAATTTTTTCCTGAACTTAAGCTTTTGACAGTAAATGACTCGGTTAAAATACTTCCTAAACTAGGGACATACTTCTCATTTGGGATTGATGTTTTTCTGAATAATAGCCCACTTTTTCTAAGAGTAGAATTCAAACTTAGCAGAGTTTGATGTGGCTCAAGCTGCTGAGTATGCTGGTCACATAGGGAGAAAATAATTTTTACTTTCTTTTTTAAACTGCAGTATACAAATTCAGAAGTGAAAGACTTGTTTTTCAAAGAGAATTTGCAAATTGTGGGCAGTTCAGTACTGGGTGATCTCCTACATGTCAGCATTGGTACAGATGGTTTATCTGGTAGAGGTGAGGACATAGAAAAACATTACTACCCCTAAGTAACAGCATCATTACAGTAAGATGCTACTAGAATGAGAGAAATGGTTGTCGCGGCTTACTGTCAGTGTTGGAAAAAACAGACTCCATATTAACATGAACTAAATGAGTTCAATTATTAGTTCTCCTCTCCCTTCCCAGATAGTTTTGATGTGTCATGTATTTTTCTCATCGGTATAGGACAACAGTGTAATGAACAACTGGGAAATAACTTTTGACACTTGGGTGGAATCTTTAGTATTCTGTTGGCTTGTGGATTTGGGGTTTTTGGGTTTTTTTTGTCTGCAGTGAACCCCTCATTGTTTTATGAGCTATCATTAGGATCTCCATGGTTGTTTTAGCAAACCTGTAGGAAGGTATAGCTCAATTCAATAGCTGCCTACTTTCTTTTTTCTTTCTTTTTTTTTAACCTGTATAAGTACGGTTTAAAAACTTGCACCGAATAATAACTAGAATGGGTAATGCATTGTAGGCTTTAAAAGATACGTAATTTTATTTTTCATATAACTTAGTAATTTCTTGTGGTTTATTTGCATCAGCTACTCTGTTCCAAATAAAACACAATACTGGCGCAAATTAATGCAAATGAAGTAGCATTCTCCAAAGAGAAGCTTCTGTAATAGAAGTCTGTATGTAAGTAAGCATGGCTACTTAGGTTAGTGGTTAGAATCCTCTGTAATGTACTCTTCCAGTGATTTTCCTAGTTTTATATTTAATTGCGATTCTTCTACAAAATGCTATTCCCCACCCCCACTTTACCTCACTGGGGAGAAAGACAAACGTAAGCAGAGGACAAATGATAATGTGAGAAGCGGTGATGAGTCACATCCCCCTTGTAGGAATGCAGAGCCTTTGGTGATGTGCCTGTATGGTTAGTAATACAATTTACAAAGGTCTCGCTCTCCCAAACATGTTAGTCATTTTTACCTTGAAGCTCGTGATAATCAGGTTCCATTTTCAAATGACACATCACGTTAGCAGGGTAGTCCTGGTTTTTCATTGAAGAGTGCATGCTGAGGACAAAAAGTCATGCTTACTAAGCCAGGGAAAGGGGCAATAGTCGGTGCTGAGCTACAAGGCCATTGCTATGGCTGAAAATAAATTCTGTGTGTTTTTTGTGTATATGAAGTAAGTTTCAGAAGACATCATAGGGTCATGGCAGTTATTGGGGACAACATATTTGTGTGGATAAACAGAGCTGTCAACGGTAATGCTATGTATTTAATACAACTTTTGTTGGAATTGGAGCGCCCTGTCTGTGCCTTTTTGCTTGAGAAATGCATCCGGTAACTTCAGAGGAACATTTCATAGAACAACTTAGGTTGGAAGGGAGATGATATAGTCCAGCCCCTAGTTTGCACAAGAAGGATAGCAAGTTTCTTCCCAAAGCTTTTGATGGGTTGGATATTTTTTACAACCTGGTTAGTGGACCAGCTTCTCTGTCTTGCATCATTGTAAGCTAACTTGGAAAACGGCTGAACAGATGACATGAAACATAGGGAAAATTCAAATGATGTGTGAGTGTCAGAACTGTCACTGCAGAAATAATGGCTTATTATGCTAGTGAGACCATCTAGAATATAAGGGTACAAAAGCATTTATCTTTTACTCATAAGCAGCCAAAGATCGGGCTTTGCAGCATTCTGCAAAGAAACAGCTGCCTTGCAAGTGAAGCGCTGTCCATGGTCCTCCTAACAGTCGTAACAAAAAACCTGAGTTAATTAATTGAAAATATTTTGTAGTGAATGATGACTTAGGCTGCAGCGTTCAGACTTCCTTTCTCAAGTTACTGCTCTAACAAGGAAGGCTTATTAACTGAGACCAGTGACCTTTTTCTCCATAATCCTGAAGTTAACGTTTCAGAGGGATCGTCAAACCTGATCACTGCTGTGGTCTCTGAATGCGTTATTATTGTAGGTGCTGAATCAGTTTGATTTGTAAAATCATCTCTTGCTGTGGAGGGCCTCCTTTGCCATTTGTGAATTCTTTGACTGTTGAAATTAAGCATGGAAAGGGATTATTCAATATGCAGGTAAAGATTCACGTGCCTTTGTCTTCCTGTAAACCTATGCTTGCACATTTATCACTGCATATGGAAAACAGATTCAATAATCTATATGGTATGCGGTGCTGGGTAGTGCTATGATACCACTAGCGGTACTGTGTCATGTGCAAGATTCAAATATTGGTCATTATGGTTCATAGAAAAGGCATTTCACAGCCTGTCATGTTCCAGACATGGAGCATCACAAAGGCAAGTGAGAACAGATTTCCCCAATTGCTTTAACCACCCATCTGAAACTGCTATTTAGCTATGAAATACAACAGCATTTTCAACAATTCCCTGCAGTCCCAAGTCAGTCAGTGCCCCCTCGAATAACCAAGAGACAAAGTTTTTAGTGCTTTGTGGCTCAGGAGATCCCATTCTGGTCTCAAATTCTGCTGTCATCAACTGGGAGTAATTTAGGGTAGCTTCGGTCTGATAGAGTCAGCATGTTTTTCCTAAATAAGGTACCTGGATTAGTTCCACTCCCTTGGTGTATTATAAACTGATTCATGTTCCTACTGTGCTCAAGCACTGTGGCGATGAGTGCTTTCAGTCCTGCCAAGGAAAGTCGGACTATTGTTGCAAGCCATGGCTCATAACAACAGGGGTAGAATAAAGCTCTTGTAAAAGATTAATTTCCAAATGCCTCTGAAGATCATAAAAAGGTGATTATTTTTGTCTTACAGATATTGTGGATGCTTTATCAGATCCAAAGAAATTTTTGTCTATCACAGAAAAACGAGCAGACCAAATGAGAGCTATGGGTATCGAAACCGTAAGTAGAACTTAATGACAAACACAGCCTATTTATGTTCATGCTATGTTCTTTTTTTAAAGTAAACTGGTCCTCCAATCGATGCATGTTACCTTATCATTTCTCACTTTCAAATATAAGCCTCTTTGTCCTGCTCTGAAATAACCTTGGCTTAAGTTATTAACATGCATTGAAATACCATTCACTAACTGACTTTTCACGGATCATACTAACATCTCCTAGAAGTAGAAATTTTAAGAAATGAGAAAGGAGCCATATTTTAGTAGGAAGCCATTTAAAATAGGTTACAAATACTTTACTGAATACAGTGTTGTTTGAAAGTATGTTGCAATTTTCTTTATTATGTTTAAAGTAAGCAAGTTCAGAAATTTTCCCATACCCTGACTTTTATACTACAGGTAAAACAACAATTAATTTATTATGATGTGAATGTTTCTTTCAGAGTGATATAGCCGATGTACCAAATGACACTTCAAAGAATGATAGAAAAGGAAAAGCCAATAACGCCAAAGCCAACGTAACACCTCAGAGTAGCTCTGAACTTCGACCAAGTACCACCGCAGGCTTTGGATCTGGGACTGACGCTAAGAAAGGTAGACAAAAATCACATGCCACTCCCTCAGTTCTGAGGTGATTCAGAGAGTCACAGAGAAGTACTCATTACTCAGTTTTACTTCCTGCAGTTCTATACATTCTTACCCTTTTAGAAGGTAATCTAAATCATTGAGAGTGGTCTTTGACTGCAAATAAATTTTGTGTGTTACTAAAATGGCTATATAAAGCCAATACGGCTTTATTTTACTAAGTGACCTCTTTGTGTAGCTGTATACCTACTGCCAATAGTGGTAACCTGTGTGACTCTGGGAGTAGTTTACTAAAGATCTACTGGAACGGCAATAGGAATTACTATTTTCTGGTATACTCCACAGAAACTCTTCTGCTTTTTTTCTCCCTCCACAAATCCCTTGGCAGAGTTGCAGATTTAAGTAATTAAAGGTATTTAGAATTCATTGGATTCTGTGGAGATTTCCCAACAATTAGATATGTTTTCAATGTGTGGTTTTGCTCTGAATAGTGATTATGGAAATGGCATGTTTATTGTAAAAAATATCCCTATTAGATGTGCTCATTTATAAGTGAATAAGTATTTTTCCTCACTAGTCACCGTTCACTCTACAAAATTATCCGATAGAGTCAAATGGGATTATTTGTTTCTCACATATCATCACAGGTAATGAAGATCAAGTGAGAAAACAAATTTGTACAGCTGAATGAAACACAATAAATATTTCTGTTAATGGGCCACGAGATTTAGAGTCTGGTTCACTCTCTTTCATCCACCTTGGCCCAAAGGGATTGATAGGAGTGAAAAGGAGCACTGACTGCTCTTGTTCTTAAACTTAAGCAGACATGGCTGAATACACACATGTGAAGGGATCTCTTGAGAAACAAGATGCCATTTCTCTGGAGACGCTTTTGGCAATAAAACAGGTCATCTCTGGCACATGAACTCTTTCAAAGTTCTTCCCTGGTGTAAAACCCAGATTATTTTATGCGTGAGGTGTTTTCATATTTCATGTATCATCACCAAGATGCACAAGTATTAGTTTTATTGTGCATTAATTAAGCATGAAATTTGCTGGGGTTGGCAACTAATTCCTTGTTGCCATGGAGTCAGACCTGGTGAACAAAGTAAATGAGTCTGCGTTTTGAAATGAAATCCTGAGGAAGTTTGTTTAGAACACAAGCACACCTGATGCAGCCCTGGTCTTAAACTGACATTTCAGTACTTAGACGTTGCTGTCTGCAACCATTTTTATCCATATTCTTGCATGTTAAAGTAGAGCTGTTCATTTTTATATCCCATGTAATGATTCTTACTTTGTTTTACTTATCTCTATGATCTTTCAAGATCTGAGTATTTTTACTGTTGTTACAATATAGAACCCCCCTTGCTATTAGAAATTATGTATCCAGCAAGATAGGGTGTTTGGGGAAGGCTTTCAAATGCACAAGAATGTTCGGGTTTTTTGTTCTCTGACTTTCAGTAATAGTTAAGTGATTTGTGTTTTTGAAAACTTTAGCCTCTATCTGTGCCTTAATCTGTTCCAGTCTCATTTACTAGACTATTATTAATACCATGTAATTGAACAGAATCTTAATGCTTCTAAGAAAATTAAAAAATTGTGTTCCCTAAGGAGATTGCCTGCCTTCTCCCCACCCAAAAAACCCCCCCCCTTTACAGTATCTGAATGTTTTCCAGTGAAATTCACCTTAAAAGGCAGAAAGTCCTTTTCAAGGCAGGGGGAATCTTAAAGTCCGCAGACACTATCAAGAGCAGTTAACTAAATATGTTTGCAGTGTATTTATTTACAGGCTAACATTTTTGTGTAAAAGCTCTCAAAACATCTAGGCATTGCAATTCTCATGGTGTTGTATTGACATTTTTATTAATGATTACACGTAGGATGTGCTTAGTAGTTTAAAAAAAATTGTATGTCACAAAACATTTGTTAAAGGATAAACATGAAATGAGATTGGGTCTTGTTTGCATTGCAGTTCAAGTGATCAAAATATATTTTCATTCATCTAAGCAGTACCGTTGGTCTTGTGTGATAGATTTGCTTGTTGTATGGCATTTTCATTAGGATTTTCACTTACGATTTTGTGTTTCTCCTCCATTTTTAACTCTCCTTTAGTCTTGGGATTGTACTGTTGCTCCTTTTCTCATAGCCTGGTATTAACCAAAATGCAAATTTTACTGCCATTAACATACAAGCTGCAGGTAGATTTTTCACTCCTACGATTTTTGTGGTTTGAATTGAGGAGAAGTAGTATACCTTACCTCAGTTAACCCTTTATGCAGTCTGTAGAACTTTACCAAGAAGCCTGCTCCCTGAAACAAGTGGTGCCAGAGCAATCTCCAGCAATGGACCAAAATTCTGATGTTTGCGTGGTTCAGTTTTAATGTGCATAAATGGTTCGCTGTGTTTTCAGAAAAGGAGATTTTTCAATTCTTAGATTGCTGTGTTTTGACACTTCAGTCCAGAACTGTAAGAGATTAAAATACACTCATTGATTCATTTCTTTTTTCACAAGGCAATTGATTGAGCAGTGCATTTGAAAAGGAAATTAACTGTATCTTAGCTATATCTTGATGAATAATTTTCTCATTAATCTGCAATTATTTTTTATGTGGTGAAAAACATGAATTAATTGCTAACTTAAATGTAGGTTTCTGTGGTAAAACTCAAATTTAAAAGTATGAGATATACTAGTACGTATGAAGTTTTAGATAAACTGTATCATTACCTTCCTAGGTATAGACCTTATTCCTCAAGTGAAGATAGAAGATTTAAAGCAAATGAAGGTAAGTATGGACACAAGCTTTTCAAGATGTGTTCCTAATTATTTGTTTTAAGTAGTCAGGATTTTATCTGGTTAAAGTCAATAAAGACCACAGAAAAATTGATCCAACTTCTCTTTTTGTAGGCTTATATAAAGCATTTAAAGAAACAGCAGAAAGAGCTGAACGCCTTAAAGAAGAAACATGCAAAGGTATGATTATTAAGAGCTCTCTGAGCAACACACTCTAATTGAAAAAAGTTGCAGCACTCACTAGCTCAGACAGCTCCTAATTAAATTGTAGGGAAAGGAACAGTAGTTGGACCACCAAGAAAGGCATATGTGTTTTAGATGTACTGAAATACGCTCCAGTGAGCAAATTTTCCCTTTAGCAACCCTTTGTATGTCTCCCTGAGTTTCGGTGCACATTTGTTTGACCCATATAAGCATCCAAATCTCACCTTTTCCAGCTAATGATTTTATCTAGCTCCCTCTTGCATGACATATTGACAGGCAGCTTGGAAAAAAAAGGCAGTAATGATGTGAGAGAGTGCTGCATTGAAGACAGGCACTGGAGAAACTGCAAAATCGCCAGAGATAACTGGAATGTGTAACTGAACAATTAAATGCCCTATTCCTCCTCACTTGTATCTGTGTTAACCACTTTACCAAGCAAAAAGCTGGCTATACCGTTGGCAGCGAAGTCCCAAATACATACAACGCTATCACAAATATACTTTACATTAGAAAATCACAGCCAATTTTCTCCTGCCCCTTATCATTAGAAAACTATTACTCTTGTTACAGAAAGAGGCATAACAAGTGAAGAAAGTATCTTGAGTTCTGAATTTTGGCAATACATACAAATCCATTCTGGGCTTTTGGGCAAGTTATTCCCCTGCTCTCTTTGATTGCAGATTTCATTGCAGATCTGATGTAATGTAGTTGTCTGGGCATTTTTAATATCAGTCTTTGTGTTTATTTTCATGACTATTGTTTGGGCATGGGACTCATGTCTGTACAACGAAGTATGAAGAAATTACTTTCAATAACTGGCACTTTTGTGGGGCTTTTAGTATTAAAAGTAGTATAAGAAAATTAAATAGTTATATTTCAGACTCCTTACTGACTCTCTGCAGAAGGGAAATGAGCGATTTCTCTGTTTTAGTGTTGCATGCAAAGCTCATGCTCGAGAAAAAGTGTCTGTCATCCACAGTTCTGGGTGTGGACAGTTTCTAGACCTTCATAGGGTTGATCTTTGACGGGGCTTCTTATTTTTAAACACTTTCTCACTCATTGGACAACATCCAGCAGTTTGCTGTAGCAGCTTTTTGCAAATGAAAATGGTACCATGGTTACGTAGAAAACAGCCATAATCAACAATCTATGTCCCCGGTATGTGACCCACAGTAATGTAAGGATATCTTAGCCAAGGCTGCACTTGCTAATGTTAAAAAATTGATCCATCTGTTCAGACTTGCACTTGCTTCCTCTAATCTGAGGAAAAAATTGCCAGCCACAATCTGAAAATGCTGTGCACTCAGAAGGGCTTTCAGCATTAGCTCAAGCAGAGCTATTTTAGGTCTGAGCCAGCGTGCGTCCTGCGGGTCTTGAGTACAGAGTGCAAGGCCGTCCTAACAAGAGAGTGCCTGTCTAGAGCGTGCCTTGCTAAAGGAAGGGCAACTTCTTGAGTTTGGAGAGGAGAGTCTGAGCAGAAAAGTGTGGCCATGTTAGCTCATGATGATCTTAGATGATCTTAGGGAAGTGCTTGGTGTACTCATTGCTGGTTTTAATGAATTTTTATCGGCTGGGATGGAGCAGGAGAGCTATGCAGTTAGTTATCCATGATCAGCTTGAGGAAGCCTGTGTATTAAGCAGACTGAACTTAAAACAAATAGGATGGCTCTCATTTAACCATAGACACCTAGAGATCTGGAGGAATAAGTACACAGAAAGGAATTGTTCATGCAGTTTAAGGAAAAAAAAGTCCAATACTTTTCCATCTAAAGTTGGCCTTGGAAAATGCGTTATGGAAAACAAATGCATGCAAGTGTGGAAGAGAGAGCAGGTTGAGAGGAAGGAGCTCTGATCTAAGCAGTGTAGGAGCTAATCTGGTAGCCCTGGGCAGAGCTAGCTGAGGGAGACGACAGCAGTAAGGGTCCCTTTTACTAACAGCATCCACTCAGTGTAGAGATGTTATTAGCAGTCTCACTGAAATGCTGGCTGGCGGAGGTTGGTTGCTCAGTATGAAAACACGTCAGTCTGTTTTCTCAGGGTATAGGACTGCTAGAGACACTACATTTCCAGATTAATACAGAAATTAACTGGTGTGAGTCTTTTCAAGATGCAACGCGCTCTGTGTATTTTTTTGATGCTATCCTTCTTTTTGTTTATGTCTGTTCAGTGTTTCAGCCATTTTGACTCCAGTGGCACAATAAAATTCTAACATCCCTCTGCATATTATCACTAATTTGGTTTTCCTACATGGCATAGCTCCTTACAACTGTTAATACCTAGAATATACACACACAGAGACACATCACATACTGTGACTTGACTTTGTGATGGTGGTGTTATTAATCTGATTTTTTAAGAGAGGGATGTTTGGGCAGGTGAAGGTACAATCTTCCCTGTTCCTTTTTTCACTTTTGTGTAGGAAAACTAAGACATCTAGTCTAAGTGGGATAGATCATTAGATTGGTGGGAAGACCACTGTTCTTAGTATCACCATTACTAGGCAGCCAGTCTGTGACTGATAAAATTAAATTTGCCCATTCACTAATGTCAGATTAGTGGCTTGCAAAAAAATGCAGAATTTTGGATTTCACAAAGTTAAGAAATAGTTGAGAGTTGAGATTTTACTCAGGATTGAGAATCATGTAAAAGGTACATATATAGTGCTCTGCAAAGACAAGACAAGGCTTTTAAAGAAATCCTGAAGGATTGTAAGGGAATAATGGAGCACGTAGAAATTAAAGGCGGGACAAACTGTAGTGAATACTGGAGAGTGTCAGTATTTCACAGTAAGTTTAGTTTCGGAGTCAGTGTGCAAGTATAGTTTCTCCACTTCAGAAGAACCTGTTCAGCTCTGCAACAGAGCTGTTGCCTCTAGTTTTTGAACCCAATCCTCTGCTTAGTTTGTGGCCTGGCCACGAAGGAAGAGAGAGCTGAAGGGGGCAGAGTGAATATTCTCCAGGCTGGTTTAGTCTCTGAAAAAGTAAGTCTGCATGAGTATGACTGAGGTAGCATTGTGCTGCTGTTGGGATTGCTAAAGAACAGATGATTGCTCTTAGGAGCAAAGAACATGATCCAAACCTCAGCCCATTGACTTGCCTTGTGAACTAGTTTCACCTAACAGGGCATGCTGAATCTGGAATGAGACAGGTCACCATGAGGAAACAATGTAGGTTTGCCATTTATGCAAAGAACACGGGACATAATTCTATAAAAAGCGGGGGGAAGCCAAAGAGTGGGAAGCTAACACAGATTTCTTTGATGATACCATGAGAAATACAGTATTTTTAGGGAGGAACATGTTGCAAGGATTATATATAAGTCTTTGTAGTTAACTTCTAGGGCAAACTCTTTGTTATCTGTTGGACAGTGAGCAAAGCTGGTCCTATAGGTTGGGACAGGCACGTGACATGCACCTTTTTGACACCAGTAGACAGGACTGCCAGCAAGCAAAACAGAGTACTTCTGTAGTGGCACTTATTTTGCAAGCTGTCGACCTCTGACACTGTAGTTTTCCTTTTGTTTGACTTCTGAAAAACAGTGGCAAATTGATGTAATGATCACCATTTTTAAAGAAATTCTGTATTAGGAATAACTTCCTCTTGAATCTTAGGTCTGGTAACCTGTGCTTTTGGTGATTTTAAAATAGTATGTCCAGCCACATCTGCGTACTACAGAAATGTTTTTCCTTAAACAACAATTCCTAAAAACACTTACACTGGGCAGCTTTTGAAAATAAAGTATTTCCTGCCTGCATTCCCTGAAGTTACTGTAATCTCCGAGCATGAATATTACCGTGCAACTGCAGAATGGCTGATGTGTCTGAACGATGTCCATTGGTTTGTATCTTTTTTATGAAGTTAGATCTTGATTACTGTCAAGGTAAATGTTCTGGGGTGGCATCACAGGTAGATGGGCTATAAAGGCAAGGAGATGTGCATATATGAGAGTTTCATTCACTGATTTCATCCGTTAGCAGCCTGTATCTATGGGCCCCTGCTGAATTTTAACATTTTGCATGGATGTCATGTAGTATTTGTGCTTCTCGGGTTAGACAGAAGAGGAGGGATAGTGAGGGATTATCTTGATATATTTTCTAACAGTCAACAGTACAACAGATGATTGTGGTATACAGTTCTAGTGGTTTTGGACAAGACAGTGATAGTCACAGGTGCCCTCTTAAGGAATTTAATATGGCCATAGACAGTAACCAGAATTGCATAATTACCACCCAAAAATATAAATCCCAGAATTCATCTCCTGCACATTTATATTGACATTGAATATATGTACTGTTTGAAATAAAGCGTAGTGAAAAAAAGAACATTAAAAAAAAAATCTTTTCAGAATGCGAAAGTGACAGTGCAGAAGACTACGGGACTCTAGATTAATTAAGTTCTGCAAAATGGATTGTTGATTTGGAAATGATAGTTTATTTTTCTTTTATTTCCTCTTTTTTGTGTTCTGTAATGACAATCCTCCAGACTTCAGTTTTCAGTTGTACACAGTATTTGTGTTGCTTTAGGGAGATACCAGGCAGGAATAATGGTTTGTATCATAGGAACTTATTTCCTCTTCTCTTCAGTAGACTGAATTGTGATTTCTGCCGCTCTCCCCTCCTCCCCTTAATGGAACTATATACGATCCTTTACAGTTTTCCCATGGATAGTCTGGCTGTGATTTGAGTCTTTTTCTATCAGTTAGGTGGCCTCTCAGAACCCTGGCTGAACTGTGGCTTCAGTTTGTAATATAATCATTAAATCTCATTTGTGAATATATTCATGTAAAAGGCGTGTGAATTCAAACTGCAAATTGAGGAAATCATGAGAGACCTAGCTGAGGAGACTTTTCTCTGCAAACATATCCTGAATCAATCTAGAAGATGTTACCACCTGAAACTTTGCTTGCATCTGAAAACAAAGTATACTGAGGGTGTTTTAAGATGCTACAATCCCACTCGTATTTCTTAGACTTTTGACAGAAGTTTGGGACGCAGCATCTGGGTGTGATGAATTTTCCTTTGAGCAGAGACAGAAAATCAAACTCACATCAGCTAACCCATTTTAAATACTGTTCCAGGGGTTGAAGGTCATATAATTCAAGGGGCCTCTGGTAGGGAGTTGACTCCTAGTACTCTTTGTGCCTTGCACATGGAGGTTGTTAGTGGCCCATCTTCCTCTTCCAGCTCTGTTTATATTGTGCACAAACAAATGCATGCGCCATGAACTGGATGGGGAGGAGGACCAGGGAAGGAAATGAGGGGAATATGGTCCACAATATATCTGTTTCAGATACAAGATAGAGTTGTGTATGAGCGGTAAGTAGCAGTAGAGGGGAGTCTGCAAAAGATTACAATGGGTTTGTGATAAAGAGAGAAGGCTTAAATTAAATCATGGTTGTCCTGAGAGAAAAGCAGGGATTCTAGCTCTACATGATGTGCCTTTACAGATTATGGAGGAGTGTTACATGAGCAGGCAGATGTCTATGCTTTGCAACATTTGCGCTTAGTCTTTTATAGCAAGAATTGTATCGTTCTGTTCATCTAGGGGAGAGTGGGTAGTCTGAGAGATGCTCTCAGTCGCTTCACCTCTGGCTGGCTGGTGCTGTCAAGCTTATGTCATTCTTTTCACTGTCCATATTTTTTCCTACCTGGTTAGTCAGTGTAAATACTCCCTGGTGAAGCTGGCATGTTTTAATGTTGATGGAGTCTATTTTTTTCCTTTAAATCCTCTGTAGAACAGAAAATTCAGTTCCCCACTCCAAATACAAAATCTAGAAGCTGTATGTGTTCCCCAGGGCAGTGCTTGGCAGATGTTGGAGTGCTCAGGTACAGCCCAGGGCTAGATTTTTAGAAGCATCACAACATTTGTATTAATGTTTTGGTAATGGTGAATGTAAAAGTCTTTAATTAGTATTTTTAGAGGAAGAAACAGTGATAAGGCAAACACAGGTGTATAGAAAATAGTAACAAAGAGCAGTAGAATAGCAAGGGTAGAATAAATGCGAAATGAACTATAAACCAGAATAGAGATAAAGTCCTGGAAGAGGCCATATTAATTAATGCAAGGCTTTTTGTCATGACTAGGTAAAATGTGGAACAATTGGATATTAATAAAATAACATAAATTAACAAATTTTCCTATTGTAATGTAAATTCAATATTTCGTGCTCTCCATGGTTGTTAAATATTTGCATCATTATGAGCAGCTGTTCTGATAAAGGAGACTACGAAGTCCAGTTAAATAATGAAGTCTACATGTAAGCACTATGTGAAGTGTGTTGTTTCTGGTACAGTCTTGTAATGGAGAGGAACTGTCTGTATGCTAGACCCAAGTGTGTAATATGCATTAGTGATTTATCTTCTCATCATAGGAACAGTTTTTTCCTCCCCTTCCATAGATAACCTCCTCTGCCACTTCACCAATGTAAGTCACATAACTCTAGTAGTGGCAGCAGGTTAGCTTTGGTGTGTGGTGCTCCACAGCTAGCCCTATGTGTCCAGTTTATTGGCATGTGCTGTACTGTTTGGGGGGGAGGAAACGGGGGGCAGTTGTTATTTGCAGTCTGCATGTGTAGCTGAAC